TCATCAATTAACTAGTCAAGTAAAAATGTCAGGAAGAGGAAAAGGCGGCAAAGGTCTCGGAAAGGGTGGTGCTAAGCGTCACCGTAAGATTCTCAGAGATAACATCCAAGTGAGTCTGTTATTTACGATATAGCAACCTTTCTAATTACTCCATAGGGTATTACCAAACCAGCTATTCGTCGTCTCGCTCGTCGTGGTGGTGTTAAGCGTATCTCCGGTTTAATCTACGAAGAAACCCGTGGTGTTCTCAAGGTCTTCTTGGAAAATGTCATCAGAGACTCTGTCACCTACACAGAACACGCAAAGAGAAAGACTGTCACTGCACTCGACGTTGTCTACGCACTCAAGAGACAAGGAAGAATCCTTTACGGTTTCGGTCAATAAGCTATTTATTTTGCATCTATCATCACTGTATTATTAGCATGGGTATATTTTTAAATTACTATAAGATTATTTGTGTGTTTTGTGCCTGTCGTTGCAATATTAATTCCCGGCTTTGGTAAGCTATGTTTATGTCTTCTATGTTCGTTAGGGTATGACTCATACACACTTCACCGTCAATTATCAGATCAATAGATAATGAAAAGTATTTTGCAATTGCTTTCTGTATATTTTATCATGTTTCATCATCTTAAAAACCTACCATCCTCAAAATCTGAATAAGAAAGCTACTTCCATCTTAAACGTCATGCCGTCACAGAAGGCGACGCTGACAATAGACCTTCCAAACACTCATAATGTTATAACATTTAAGCCCCCTAGTACTCCACAATTTAGCAGGACTACCCCGAACTATAGGACACAAGATCCTACAGAATTGAGGGGAAGCTTAGAATTGTATCTTCCTTCAAAAAGACAAGTGAAATCAATAAAAGTCAATTTGAAAAATGTAGAGGATATCATCATAAATGGAAAATCTAACCGGCGGCTAGTCCTTAATGAAGAGTTATTGATTAGCGTGAATGAACTTATGCATCAGGGTGTACATCAATATGAGTTTTCGTTTATAGTAGACACCCGTACGCCAACCTATGAAAGACATAGTCGTGGTGGTACATTGCAATATTTGGAAGCATTCGTGGAATTTGATGAAATATTCTCAAAGTCTTTAATACATAAAATGCCTTTGATATTCGTAGGGCATCCAAATTCTGAAGGTTCGTTTATTCCTCTTGAACACTTACATCAAGATTATGTAGAAGACATTGGACCCTTCGAAGTTAGTTTCAAGACTCAGCATTTAACAATCGCCGGTTATATTCTCATAGGCATTTACCTACCATCACCCGCGCCAGGATTAGAGATACGCGGAGTGAAAGTCTCACTCGAACAACATACAACCATACATGATGAGGAGAAAGTCATAGAAAAGCTTCCAGTTAATGTCAACGTGTTACTCGATAAAGGTGGCAAGACCGATTGTCTGATACGTGTACCAGATCAAGATTCTGTTATTGAAGGTCGCTATTTTGTCAGATTGCCAAAGGATGATGACTGTAGACCATCAACACTCGACTGGTCGCTCGCTCGATTTCGTCAGGCACATTTCCTGGTTGTCGATATGCTCTACAAGAAGGAAAAGCTTAAGATGGCTACTGTCAAGATACCACTTGTCCTACCGCAGTGTTTGCTTTCTGCAGATAGCATAGCATTACCAACCTACACTGATACCGGTTACCCAGTACCTGCTAAACGGCTCTGGGAGATGCCTTTGCCGCAATCTCACATCAATTGCAGCTGTGGTAAAGATGATAAATCTCTCAAAGCTGACGCTGAGGGCGCAAACAACTTGGATACTTACGTGCCATCTAGAGAAGGCATTTGGATATCGAATCTACGTACTAAAGAGGAAAGCATACCGTCACGCGATTCCTACGAGGAGATTAGGGCAGCAAAACGGGTAAACGAATACTACTAATGGATGGATTATAGATTTTTTCACTGTAGACTTATTTCAATGTGTTATTTATTTGAGTTATAATGTTTGCGTCTGTTTATACATATTAAAGTAATGTTTCACCTAATGCAGAACGTATGAGAGAGCATCCCACGCTGACTGTCTGTTTGACAGCCTCTTCATTCTCGAGAGCAGGGTTGACTTCCATGAGGTCAACAGCAACCAAGAGACCGGTTTCGTGGAGCGCTTCGCAGATGTAGTGGCCTTCTCTGAATGTCAAACCACCACGGACAGGGGTACCTGTTGATGGTGCGACAGATGGATCCATAGCATCAACATCGAAACTGAGATGTACAGGACGGCTACGGTCTGGGTTTACATGGTCGAGAGCCATATCAACGACCTTGCCAATTCCATATTTGTCGACTTCGTGCATAGAGTAAGCCTTGATGTTGTGTTCCTTGAGAAGCTTCTTTTCGCCATCGTCAACGTCTCTGAGACCAATGTATACCAATCTTTCAGGCTTGAGGAGTGGTTTAATCCAGCTGAACTCTGGAATGTTGCCAGCAATACCCAATAAGAATGAAAGCTAAAAAGGTGATAAGATGATATCAATTGAGATATGGCATACTCACTGGACATCCGTGTAAATTACCTGTTTCTGTCGTTTCTGGTGAATTCAAATCGGCGTGTGCATCAACCCATACAACGCAAGCGTCAGGATGTGCGCTGAGACTACCAGAAATGGTACCCATAGCTAAAGAATGATCACCACCGAGGTTAACTACGAGCTTTCCGGCTTTCGCATGCTTCTCTACCTCCTCGTATACTTGTCTAGTAGCGTTGCTTACAGTCCGGGGGAATTTCAATTTGCCGATGTCGGTATCATTCTCAAGGATATCGAAACCTTTGTGATCTTCTACTGCATCGACAGTCAAACCTAGGCCTTCAACTTGCTGTGCTAAACCGCTTGATATCAATTGCAAAGGGCCTGTTTCCGTACCGCGTTTAGGTTGGCCGTGACTGAATGGTGCGTTTACAAACGCTACTTGTGGTTTTACGAATTTGAAAGCTGTCATGGTAGATCACTGTCAAGATCAAGATTATAGATTATCGCAGATAGGCACCTGGTGATAAGTCTTTCGGTTATCAGATGCACATTTTTTAAATTCCAGGAACTATTTTTAGCACCGTCAAGTGATATATTTGTTTACATGATTTTCAAACTCTATTGTGGTCATAATTATTAGGTTTCTAATTGAACTGATAAAATTTTCATAATTTCAAAGCATACACAGAAGACTTATTGTTGCTTATAAAATATTCGCTGTATGATATTAAGATACACAAGAAAGTTTAAATGATACTAATCTTCATCATTATCTTGTTGGTCGTCCCTTCTAAAGAGATCGAGCATCTCATTGAGACCGAGCTTATTGGAGACTGCCTTCCCGCTTAGTGCGGCATCTGCGAGTTCCCGCTTCTTCTTTTGCAGCTCGAGAATACGATCTTCGACAGTCTGCCCTACGGTCAACTTATATATATGTACTTCTCGCTTTTGTCCCAGTCTGTGTGCTCTATCAAATGCTTGGTCTTCTAGTGCAGGATTCCACCACATGTCCGCCAGAATCACGCGCGAACATACGTTTAGATTCAGACCCGTTGAACCTGCTTTGAAGGAGATGAGGATGACTGATGGCATGTGTTAGTTTAATTTAGACTTGACCACTCAATAATGCCCACCGGTGGTTTTATCATCTGACCGTATGCGATCTAATACGGCTCCGCGCTCTGTTGGATTCAATGTTCCGTCGTCTGATTATCGTCAGAGGTGAATATATGCAAAGTAGTTAACTGACATCGGACATACTTGTATCCCGCATGCTTGACGAATCTCTCAATGATGTCGAGGAATGTAGTCTATAAAGGTAAGCGAAGTGAAATTGACAAGCTAGAACTCACGAATTGCGAGAAGATAATAGTCTTCTCCGCATTAGCAGAGTCAGGCTTAGGTCCTTTCTTCCGGACTGACGTGCTCTTGCTTTCCGTTGCTTTTAATGTCGGTATTACCTCGTCTTCGTCATCGCTACTCATGACAATCCGACTATTGGACTTCAGGAGAAACAGTTAAAGGAATATTCATGAGAGAATGCTTCTCACCTTTTTCTTACTTGGCTTACTGGAATCGTTTGCTTTCTTTATATCCATCGACGCAGTACGTTTTATGATAGCATCAAGGTCATCATCTTCACTATCGCTCAATTGTATGGCTTTGGAGGGCCTTCCAGCAGGATCGAGTCTGACTGGTTTGGATTCTTTCTTCTGTACTTCCTTCTTTTCTACCCTCTTTTCTTCTTTCTCCTTTGAAACGGGGGATATGTCTTGACTTCCATTATGAATATCACTCAATATTCGCATGATCGCCCTAATTTTAGCACTATCTACTAGCTCATCGAGAGCAGATTTATTGCTTTTCTTAATATTCAGATCCTCATCGACGCCTCTGACGCCTTTTTTAGATTCATCCATACCCATTCCTGCAAAGAGGTCAGCGAGGTCATCTGCAGCTTGTTGATCTTGCTCCTCCTCGACGTCCTTATTTGAGGTGGTATTTATATCATTAGAAACAAAATCATCAGCTGTATAAGCTTTCGTAACTAGTTGAGGGTGACAACAAGCTTGACGTAATCTCAAGAGCATTGTGAGGACACTTGTATATCTGCTATTAATGTTGCCATCTGTAACGAATTTGCTGATCTGTTGTTCAGCTCTGTTATGCACATTTTCGTAGAATTGACGCTCTTCCTTGTCGAAATCGCAACTTATGTCGAGTATATGCTTAGCTGGAAGCTTGAGTAGTGGAGTACCATCTTCATTTGCACTCGCTTTTGTCCGCCTGAGCATGATCAGTTTGAGAATGACCTGAATTGTTAGTTGAGTAACCATAACATTACACGCAAGCCCACCTGTAAGCGCTGTATTGCGACTTTAACACGACCACCTTTCAATGGGACGACAATACGTGCTTTAAATTCATCCCAGTCGCTGAATGGCTGTATCTTGAGGAAACGCAACAAAGCATATAATTCATCGACATTGTTCTGTATCGGTGTACCCGTCAAACACCACCTAAGGCGCGCATTCAGTGCGGCACATGCTAAACTCATCTTGCTTGTCTTCCCTTTGATATTTTGAGCTTCATCGAGTACGATTCTGTAAAAGTTGGTCTCAAATAGCGCGCATAGTGGTTTCTTCGTTGATTTCGTCTTCTTTACGAAACCATCTTTATCTTCCTTTTTGTTGGTATTCTCGCCTTGTTCTTGCCATACTTTATGTTCTGAAGAAACGATCTGATAGCTGGTAACCTAGTTTATAGTGAGGAAAGTCACAACAATTGTCGTACTGCTCACCACAATATCGTAATCTTTAAACTTAGTCGCGTCTGTCGGTAGTGTTTAGTGTGCAACTCCTCAATTAGTTCAAAACTCACCTCTAGTTCTAGATGGACCATGATGAGTAAGAACTCTGATATTATCACATTTGGATTTCGCTTCAGACTCCCACTGAGAAACGACGGCGAGTGGTGCAACGATAAGAGTAGTTTTACCGTAATTTTTACGCGTCTCTTCGCTAGGTTTGTTTCCTATGATAACAGCGAGTGTTTGTATAGTCTTACCAAGACCCATCTGTATGTTATAATTGGCGCATGCTCAACTAAGAAAATCAACCACGCACATCATCTGCTAATATACCCCCGTATTTATTCTTCACACCGGATTCCCTGTCTTTCATCCATGCGATACCTGTAATTTGATGCTTGAGTAGCGTCAAATCGGACATACCATCTACCTTGTTATCTTGCGCTTGCGAAAGATCAACATCAGCAAAGTCTGCGTTTACACCTTGTACTAGATCATTTAGTTGCTTTTGAGCTTCCCCAGATGTTAGTTTCTCTTCATTATGTGCTTGTGGTGGTTGTTGATATCCCACTTGTGCTAATCGCGGTGCTTGCTGCTGTTCTAATATAACACGTGATTGTAGTGGTTGAGGTGGTCTATTAAATAGCTTAGAAGGTGCAGACCAACCGTTTGGTGCTGGATTCACTCTCATTCCACTTTGTCTGGCGTTTTGTGAGCTCGATTGTTGTCTATTCGAGGTTCCGGTAGGTAGAGTACGTCCATTGAGATACCCAGGTGGTATACCATACGTTGGTTGTGGCAATCCAGCTGGCCTGTCATTGTTTGACATGATAGTGAATTGATAACTAAGTTATACAATTGACATAGCAAAGATAATAACACTGCAAATCAAACACAAAGAATTCGAATAAAAATCTCATTTTGTACAGATATACAAAAATCAAATTTATGTACAAGCTTAAGCTTCGCGGACTTGTTGAGTACCACGGAGTAAACCAGTACGTCTGGCAGCAATGAGACCAGCTGGGATTATTTGTCAGATCTATGTAAATAGAAGGTATGCTAAACTCACCCTTTTGACCAGATGGAGCATCTCTGGCGATGGTTGAGGCGTGACCAATGTGTTGGTGGTTACCACCACCGTGAGGGTGATCTACTGGGTTCATAGCAACACCACGAGTACGTGGCCAGCAGTTTCTCTTGACTCTGTACTTGTGGTAGGCTCTACCAGCCTTGAGGAGTGGCTTGTCGATACGACCACCACCTGCTACGATACCAACAGTAGCTCTTGAAGAGCCAACGACGGCCTTCTTGGCACCTGAAGGAAGACGGATTCTAGTCTTACCGTCAACTTCTGAGTGACCGATGATAGTAGCGTAGTTTCCTGAGCTTCTTGCCAATGCACCTCTGTCACCGGACTTTTCTTCGATGTTACAGATGACGGTACCTTCTGGCATTTGTGAAACTGGCAAAACGTTACCGACGGCGAGAGCAGCCTTCTTACCACAGTAGACGAATGCACCGGTGTAGAGACCTTCGGTAGCGATGAAGGTTTCAGTACGGAGCTTGTAGCGGTATTGATCACGGAAAACGACACGTGCAAGTGGAGCACCACTGTGAGTGTATCGTTGGATAAAATTCTAAAAAGAGAAGACTTTCTACTCACCGACCAGCGTCGTGGATGATCTCCTTGACTATACCACGGACGTAACCGTTACGCTCAGCGTAGTCGTAAGTACGGAGCTGAGCTGGGGCCTTGTTGTGGTGGGTGTGTGAGCGGAAAATACCTGGGAGGGTGAGATTTGGTGCTAGAAAGCTGAGAGAAGAACTTACCACCGTTTTTACGTTGTGAACGGATGACCCTTCCCCTAAAATATAGTCGTTAGTTATTTATTCGCTCTATATAAATCTAAAATTTACATTTCGAATCTGGCTCTGAGCTAAGAGAGGTCAGATTTGATGAAAGTGGCCGTTATTGCGTAGAAAAAAAATTACTGGGCGGAGAGAGATAAATCTCTGGAAGATAAATATTATTGTATTTATTACAATTAAGCTGTTTCTTTATTCTCCAGGGTAGCTAATACGGTGTGATCAACCCGTTTAAGCTGTCAGTTGGTCAGCCGTATGTGACAGTATAAGAGATAGATGTACCCTTTCATTGGGCGTTGCTCGAGCTGCAGGTTTACTTCTGAGACCTTTGGAAGTCTGTTTGGATCTCTCCTGTAGAGTAGGATGTTACCAGCGTTGCTGAGTGCACATCAGAGCGTCATTAGTTACGATATAACTACTCACCCCGTTGTAGCTTGCTGTGTTGATACCGTATTGGTCTCATCAAGCGTTGGAAGACGTGGTTTTGCACCAGTCTGACGACGTTCGCGATCGATAGTGATATCGTTGCGTCTGTATCCCTTGAGACTGTATAGTGTGAGTCGTATGTGCCGTATACAATTAAGTATCTCTTTGTCGCAGAGATGCAGAGGAATACAAGAAGATACAAAGAGATGTGAAGAGATAACAAAGAGATACTCACCTGAGATTACGTCTAGTGAGAGAATAGCGGCTATCTCCCAAATAAAGAGCGTTCGATAACGTTGTAACGACTATAAAAGTCTGTGAATACATAATCAAGCTTGTCTTATCATGTATTATTTACCTGTAATAGTAACAGCTAACATGCAGAATAAGTTGTACATCTTCGTCATCGTTAATAAAGAACTGAATTTCTCTTTGACTATTTGACGACAATCGAGTACCCTAAATCTCGCTATCTCGATTTCTGACGATCTCGACGATGCGAGATCTCAACACGATCTACAACCAGAGGAAGTTAGAGACCCAGAGAAATATATTAGATAGTTACAATATATTAGGATTTCTTAGCTGTGGGTGATTTTATCATTATATCAACTCTAGTGATATTCTAATACATCCTTAGCTGGTACATATGGAAAAGTATTCAAGGCAACAGCCAGAGATGATACAGATAAAATCTACGCTATTAAAAAGTTCAAACCAGACAGGGATGGCGAGTATAGCTTCACTGGTATCTCACAATCAGCTATACGAGAAATAGCTCTCAATAGAGAGATTGACAACGACAATTTAGCAAAATTGATAGAAGTTTTATTAGTAGATGGCGCCATCTATATGGTTTTCGATTATGCAGAGCACGATCTACTCCAGATCATCTACCACCACAGCCAGTCATTGCGGCAAGAAATACAGCCAATTGTCGTTAAGAGCATTCTACATCAACTTATAAATGGTGTACATTATTTACACTCTAATTACATTATGCATAGGGATCTCAAACCGGCGAATATACTCATAACAAACAAAGGCGTCGTCAAAGTAGGTGATTTGGGTCTCGCGAGGATATACCGACAACCACTGCAACCGCTTTATAATGGCGACAAAGTTGTAGTTACTATATGGTACAGAGCCCCCGAATTGCTCCTCGGAGCACGTCATTATACCCCCAGTGTAGATGTCTGGGCGATTGGCTGCATATACGCTGAAATGCTTTCTCTTCGACCGATGTTTAAGGGTGAAGAGGCACGCATCGATGGCAAAAAGTTGCCATTTCAGCGACACCAGATGATGTGCATTATGGATGTCCTTGGTTATCCAAACACCCAAAATTGGCCAGGTATCAAGCATATGCCCGAATACAATGAGTTGCAGCCACCTCAGACGCGTTTCTCATATAAATTACCAAATTGGTTTAATCAAAGAAGCCATTCTATCAAGGGTTTCAACCTTCTCCATAGCATGTTGACATATGATCCAGAGAAGAGGATAACAGCAAGGGAAGCACTCACTCATCCGTTCTTCGTCAGCGAAGATCCTGCACCTGTTAAAGAGCCTTTCGTGGTCTACAATCAAGTGAGCTATCCTACTAGGCGGCTCACCCAAGATGACGAGTTGACGTCCAATCAAAATACAAACCAAACCGACACCAGTGCACGGGGTTCAGGACCTGGTGGTGCGCTTAACCCTCGAAAAAGAACTAGATTGTTGTAATATATTATGTATTCTTTCTATATCCAACCATGGCGACTAATCCAGTCTACTCATACCATGAGAAGCGTGCGTATATCTACACAATGAGTGAGATCGTTAACGATAAATAGAGCATTTTGATCTTGGTTCAAGCTCTCGTAAGAGGAAGATTGGCATAGAGTCTCTCCGGCGCTTCGACCAATGTGCACTTTGCTTAAGCAGAGCTCGAGATGCAGTGATAACACTCTCTGGGGTCATATTTTGTAGAGTAGGTCAAGTTTATACTATTATTCTGCTAACAGAAGTTAGGAATGCATATATGCAGACTTGCTCTCACAGAAGCAAGAAATCAAGAAAGCTAAGAACGTTTTAAAGCAACTCAAGGATAATGAAGAGAGTGAGCGCACTCGTAAGTTAGAAGAAGCTCGTCGGCGGGTGCTTGAGAACTTCGACAGAGTCCAGCAAGTAGGAACATCAGCAAAGAAGGCAGAAGCAACAAAGAATGCCGAAGAAACTGCCCTCGAAGAACTTGCGAAGGAGCAGTACGAAGCTAAGAAATCTAAATTACCAAGCTTTTGGCTTTCCAGTCTACAGCCGGATAGCTCACCAATTGCGGATAAAATACGTACTTTGGAGAACACAAAGATGGTCACTATGTGCAGACAAGCTAATCCACCACATCCAATGAGGTCAGTAGACTAATTTACATTATAATCTTCTGAAACAATCACAGTCTTAAAGATTTACACGGTGTTATTTTGAAATCTAATAAAGGTGACGCTGAGAGTATCGTATGCGCAAGTTGTAACAAGACTCTTAACAATTCTACCCCGATGTTTGGTGAGTTTGTCTTGTTTATCATTCTACTCTAACGCTTTATTCAGCATCGAAAGGATGCAGTAACATTCTTTGTAAATACTGCATAGACACGCTCTACAAAGCTCTCAAACAATGTCCTGTCTGCGACAACCCAGTCAAGGATGCGAATGAAGATCTCATAAAGGTGTCAGTAGAAGGTGAGTTCTAACATGAAGTGTTAGAAATCTTCTGACAACTTTAAAGGTACAGGATTTGCAGCAGGTGGTGGTGTTATGTTAAAGAGAAGGACAGGTGCACTAGGTTTAAATTGATTGTGTCAAATGCATAAATTGTTACATCATATCATAATTTGGGTCCTGTTATATGTCAATTCTATCATCATAAGAGACGCTAGACAACAACAATAGTAGATCAGTGATATAAGCGTTATAAAAGGTTGACTTCATGTGGTTGCAGAGATTGTTCACAAAACCATCATTTATACTATTGTTGATGTCTCCACGTCGTGTTAATATTAACTCACATTTGTGGGTTTATCGATGTGTTTTTGGATATCACTTTGTATCATCATCTGAACTGTTACATAGTCAGCAATAGGTCATTAGATGAGACCATATCAATGCTGATAATTATCAGTGATATAAGCGTTATAAAATGTTGACTTCATGTTGTTGCAGAGATTGTTCACAAAACCATCATTTAATTATCGCTACTGATATGGTCCAAGTAAAGAATACTCACAAAAATCGTGTCAGTTAGGAGTTGATTATATGCCCAAATCATATCAGCTAGAGCTAATACTTGTTTCTTTCAGTTCCACAGAACGTGGATCCATGTAAAAAAAATAAATTTCATCTTTCTGATTTGGGCTGAGTCATTTTTTTAACTCACACTACGTCTATTGTTAGTTGAATCAATGTGAAAACATCAAATGAGTGATCAGTTAGAGCTAATACAAATACCTATCATCTACCCCAGAAGGGCATCAAGATACATAATAACTTTTCATCCTTTCCACATGATGTTTCGAGTAGACTTACTCATTGTATCCTAATGGTAAAATTAGTAATAAGTCCGATGATTGTAGACACATCAGTGTACCCTCAGAGAGAAGATTATCCCTGGTAATCTCGGTCATCGTCCCGCGTAATGCAAATATTGCATACCGGGAGTCCCATAAAGAATGACAACAGGTTATCATCTTGGGGTACGAGTGTCTACTAACTAGTTACTCACATTAATCTTTAACTATTGGAGAGTTGCCACGTTGAGCATATCCAGTCCAGCTTTCGTCGTAAATTGCGCTATGGCCGCCGATAATTTCGAGAGCCAAACCGACAATAGCAGCAGTCATACCAGAACCGCAGCTGGTAATAACATTTTGTCTGCCCGCAAGGATGCTTTCAAGTTGGTCTCTACCGAGGGTATTCTCGAAAACAGCTTTGATCTCGTCAGCTGACTTGAACTGACCTTGCTGAGTAAGGAGTTGAGGGAAAGCAAGCGAGAAAGCACCTGGCATATGGCCAGATGAAAGACCTGGACGAGGCTCGGGTGCTTCACCCGTAAAGCGGGGTTTAGGACGTGCATCCAAGATCGTTGCCTTATTGTCGCCTTTGATGGTATTGAGGATATCGATGTGGTCTTTAATGTAATTCTCCTGTAATGTTGGTACGGGGTATTCTGTAGGTTCAACAGCGACTTCTCCAGATTCGAGAGGAAGACCTTCGCGTTCGTAGGCAGGCAAGCCACCATCGAGGACGGCGACGTGAGGATGACCCATTGCTCTAAAGGTGAAAGCTGCTCTTGGTGCGCTGAAAACACCAATTGTATCGTAAAGCAAAATTTGAGAATTTCTTTCAATGCCGAAATTTGAGCAGGCTTGAGCAAAAATTTCAGGCGTAGGAAGCATGTGACCAACGAAAGCGTTTGGGTGTGGTGCAGCGATCTTGTCTAGATTCCATCTTCTAGCTTTTGGGAGATGCTTCTGGAGGTATTCTTGCTCTGGGTTGCGGTCTGAGTTTGGCATGTGCCATGAAGCGTCCTACTGAGCTGTTAGTGGTGCAGTCTGGACTATAAAATACATACCAGCGCTATAAAGTTCTTTAACTCGCTTAGTTGACGGGGTTTTAATATTCTTGTCATGATGGACGTAGCGGTCAAAGGAACTTCCTCCGCTACAGTCAATGGAAAATAAAAAGTTAATATTTTCAATCGTCAAGTTCCTCAAGTCAGAGCAATCTGCCTTAAGTCAGGATAAGCAGGAATCCCTTAGCGTCGCTATTGAATCACTTGAGGACGTTTTCGAGGTCGACGACAGCCAAAAAGCCGCACTCGACGTAGACGCTGGTTTGGCTGATATCTTCAACAAGCACAGTCTTGCCACGCCATCAGAAACCCCTGCCACACCAGCAGAAGCATCCCCAGAAGATGTAGAAAAGGCTGATGCGCTCAAAGCACAAGGAAACGCTCAAATGTCCAGCCAGAAATACCAAGATGCTATCGATTCATACACCCAAGCTATCTCTTTACATCCTACCAACAAAATACTCTACTCGTCCGTTCCTTCTAGAATGTTTCGCTTTTACTGACTTACACCCACAGAAACAGAGCAGCTGCTTACTCACAAGCTGGCGACCAGGACGCCTCCATTGCAGATGCTAAGAAAGCACTCGAGATCGACCCTCAATTCGCCAGAGCTTACTCTAGATTAGGACACGCATACTTCAATGCTAAGCAATATGAGAATGCTGTTAGAGCATACGAGGATGGTCTTAAATACGATGCTGAGAACCAGACTATGAAATCCAGCTTGATTACTGCAAGATCAAAGCTCGGCTCTAACTCTGTCGAATCAAGAAGCCAGCCACAAAGTGCTCCAGCTGGCGGTATGCCTGACCTCTCGCAGCTTGCTGGAATGTTTGGCGGTGGCGGCGGCGCTGGTGGTGGTATGCCAGATATCGGCTCACTTCTTAACAACCCAATGATGCGTCAAATGGCACAATCTATGATGGCTAACGGTGGCTTAGAAAGATTGATGTCCAACCCAAGCTTGAGAAACATGGCAGAAGGCATGAGAAACGGTGGTCAGATGCCTTCCCTCGACGAATTGGCTAGCAACCCAGAGCTCAGAAATCTCGCTGAATCTTTCGGTGCAGGTGCAGGCCAGGGACAAGGACAAGGACAAGGTAATCCACCTCCAGGCAGTGCATAATTTTAATTCATTAGGGTCTGATTAGTAATTATATCTATATGTATACATTTATTCTTCCTCTTCCTCTCCCTCTTCTTCTTCCTCTTCTTCTTCCTGCTCCTCCTCGTTTTCTTGCTCTTCTTCAGACTCTTCGCCGTTGTCAACTTCGTATCCAGCACTGGCGACATCAAGACAAGTGAGACGCGTTCCTTTGGTGTCATATGAGCTGACACATTCCAGCTTTTCTTGCTTGCTTGATGGTTTGAGGGGAGTTAAATCAAAAGCTCTAACAAATCCATCTGAAGAGATGGTAATAGCGGTTAAGATGTCAGCAACATTTCCGAATCTTACGCTCTTGACTCTATTTTGATGTCCAACAAGCTCAGCAATTAGAGTGGCTTCTTTAGGTTCATCTGAAGGTTGCCCTACAGCGTAGAGCAAGACCCTCTTATCTTCGCTAGCGACAGCCAAAAACTCAACATCATCCTCAAATCCTTGGCTCTTATGCGGCTTAACGAAGCCAATATCATTGAACTTTGTAGTCAATGACGTTGGTAAAGAAGGTAAATCAGGTAAAACTTCAAATGCTTGTGTTTTTCTTAATTCTACGTGTTTCTTGAATAAGATTGCGATGATGTTACCAGATTTGCTAAACTTAACAACTTGTGGGTTGCCCTTACGTCCCTCCATACCTAATTTAGTTCCTGCGATTCTACCAACATGTCCAGCTTGCTTGTTAGATTCGTTGGAGTTCTTACCAAGCCTCCAAAGTTGACCCATTCTGTCATTACCAACAGTCATTGCGAATCCAGCTTTTGGATGTACTGCAGCTGAATCTACGCTTCCTTTGTGGGCTTTGAAAGATTTAAGGAGCTCCCATTCACCGCATTTGAAGATGTAGATGTTAGAATGTGTAGTACCAATTACCAAATGTGCGTGATTGATGAATGACATCGTAAGCGGTGTTCCTAAAGCAAAATAAGCCACATCAAGGCAAGGAGAAGACACAAACCTTCTGTACCAGTCAACGAACCAACTTCTACTCTCTTCCGTATATCCCATACTTTAAGACTCTCATCAGTACCGCCAGTTATCAGCCATTTTCCTCCCTTTGTAGAACCAGGCGGTGGTGGTGATAAGCCCACGCTCTTGATGCATGTAATGTGAGCTGGAAACATGAAAAGAGGCTTGAATTGCAATTTGCCCTCATTTAAGCGCAGATTGAAACCATAGAGAAGACGCTCGTAGCTTCCTACAGATATATTCAAGCTTACTGGACCATGTGCAGCTTTGCTTTCTGATAATTTTATGTTCTTATTTGGCTTAGGTGCACTTTCTTTCTTCTGTTGTTTCTCTTGAAACCTCGCTCTCTTCTGTCCCGCCATATCGTCCTCGTTGCAGCGAAAGAAGAATATTCAAATATTACATCATCAGCAATTAACTATTACCATGTTGTATTTCTATAAATATTTGTTTATTTTTACCTAGCCAAGAACGCTACTGTCAAGGTTTACTCGAAATAGATACTTCAAAATTTTCACATTCCAAACATGACAAACGAAATATGCAAAACTACCCCGTGATAAACCGGGTAGGTACTTATATAGCAACAAAGTAGTTAAATAGATATACTTAATGTAGTATTATGCTCATTTATTCATCTAGAATGTAATACATCAAAGAGATCATAAACATAGGTATATAATAATAGAAAAATGCCGCGCAAATATCTGTCATATTTCCAAAAATACCTCTTTTTCCATTTATAGATACGACTATATAAACCACTTTGGTTGTTATCATATAACAAATAACATGTTCAAAAAGGCAGTATACTTCGCGCTCTTGGCTGGGACATATGCCCAGTCTAACGGTACAATAGACTTGGCAGATCCGGAGCCAGGTAACTGGGGAGGCAACATTGGCAAAGCTGCGACAAAGCATTACAATGACTTTGATTACGAAGTCTTTATGAATGACAGCTACATCCCTCGTCCATATCGCTATGAATTGGGATCGGACTACACCGTGAATGAAGTAAGTAAGATCTGGTGAAAATTCGACAACTGCTAACAACTCAGAATGTGATGATGGATAGACAGTCACCGGATACACTCGCGCCACCAACAGTTGATTTTGGTAGCATTGAGAACCCAAGATGGCATATGTCTGACAGCTACAACCGCCTCGCGATTGGGGGTTACGCACGCCAGCAGACTGTGAAAGACCTCCCTGTTGCAGTCGACATCGCGGGTGTCGACATGAAACTCGAACCTGGTGCATTCAGAGAGAGTCACTGGCATGAACAAAGCGAGTGGGGTGCGTTATTCATAAAAGTCATATTCAATTACTAAACTATAACCAGCGTATATGTTCTCAGGTAGAGTAATCATTTCTGCTATCAACCCAGATGGTCAGACCTTCATGGGTGAGTTGGGACCAGGTGACGTTTGGTTCTTCCCAAGCAGCTACATCCATTCGATTCAGGCTTTAGAAGATGGTGCTGAGTTCTTACTCATCTTCGACAGCGGGGAGTTTGATGAGAACAGTACGTTTTTGTCAGCTGAAGCCCTCTCACGTATACCAAAATCCGTCATAAAGTACGTCAAGACTCCTGCTAGAACGCTGCTAACTGATTCTACAGCAAAAACTTCGGCCTTGCGAAAGACGCCACGGATTTCGACAACATTCCAGCACAGCAGCTGTACATATTCAGAGGAGAAATGCCGATCCCTTCATTCGAGGAACAGAAAAAATCTATCAATAATCCTTTCGGTATGATGGAAAACCAGACGCTCCTTTTCCCACTATCCCAGATGCCTTGGGATGAATACGATGGTGGAAGAGTCAGGATTGTAGATAGCTCTAACTTTAACGCACCTTCGCTCGATATCACAGTCGCCCAAATACAATTGGACAGTGGTAGTTTGAGAACCCTCCACTGGCATGAAACAGGTGAGTCTTAAAATCGAAAATTTTGACGAACATCCAGCTAACAAGCTTCCTCAGCTGAGTGGGACTTCATCATCAGCGGTACCCTCAGAGCAACCATCTATGCTGGTAATGGTAATAGTCGTACTTACGACTTCAATGCAATGGACGTCGGTTACATAGAAGCGAATAACCTTCATTATTTAGAGTGTGTCAGTGAAGAACCATGTGAATTCTTGGCCGCATTTAAGACTAGCAAATATAATGACTTTGAATTTGGCCAATTTGTCACTGCCACACCAAGATACACTATCCAGCAACATCTCAGAATCACTGATGAGACTTTCGACGCTATCCAAGAAAGTGTTGCAAATAAGCAAATCATAGTGCCAAATAATTGTAAATAATCCCATCAATTGCTTACCGAATTAGTCTTAAATGAGTTGTGAATTTTAAACATTTTATTAACAAATTGAGTTCGGATGGAATAGAAAGAAAAGAAAACTCCTAGAAGACTTCAGTGACAATACCAGTACCGATAGTCTTTGAAGATTCTCTCAAAGTGAATCTGCTACCAGATTCTAATGGAATGTCGTGTACCAAATCACCGACCATTTCGACATTGTCACCTGGCATGACCATCTTTTCACCAGATTCAGCAGTGCCTTCTGGGAAAGTAAGGGAGACAGTAACGTCTGAAGTTCTGATAAATAATTGTGGACGGTAGTTTTCGAAGAATGGAGAGTGACGACCACCTTCTTCCTTTGTGAGGATGTAAAGTTGAGCCTTGAACTTCTTGTAGCTCTTTATGGAGTCAACAGCGGCGATAACTTGACCTCTTCTGATTTGCTCTCTCTTGACACCTCTGAGGAGGGCACCCATGTTGTCACCAGACTCACCACGGTCTAATTCTCTGTGGAATGATTCAATACCAGTGAGGGTTGTCTTGAATGAGTTGCCAAGACCGAGGATTTGTACTTCGTCACCCTTCTTGATGGTACCTCTTTCGACTCTACCGGTAACGACGGTACCTCTACCTGAGATAGAGAAGGTGTCCTCGATAGGCATGAGGAAAGGCTTGTTGAGATCTCTCTCTGGGACATCTAACCAGCTGTCTGTAGCCTCCATGAGCTCATCGATGGACTTAGTGCCGATCTCTGGGTCACGGCCTTCGAGTGCAGCCAAAGCAGAACCCTTGACGATTGGGGTGTTCTCACCGTCATATCCGTATGAGCTGAGCAAGTCACGGATTTCCATATCGACGAGTTCCAACATTTCTGGGTCGTCAACTTGGTCAACCTTGTTGATGTAGACGACGAGCTTCTTGACACCGACTTGCTTAGCAAGCAACAAGTGTTCTCTGGTTTGTGGCATTTGACCATCAGCAGCTGAAACAACGATAATCGCACCGTCCATTTGTGCAGCACCTGTAATCATGTTCTTAATGTAATCAGCGTGACCTGGACAATCGACGTGTGCATAGTGTCTGTTACCGGTCTCGTATTCGACGTGGGCAGTTGAGATGGTAATACCTCTTGCCTTCTCTTCTGGTGCCTTATCAATTTGGTTGTAGTCCAAAAATTGACCCTTTCCAGACTTCTCAGAGAGGTGCTTGGTGATAGCAGCAGTGAGGGTAGTCTTTCCGTGATCAACATGACCAATAGTACCAACGTTTAAGTGTGGTTTGTCACGTTGGAAAGTAGCGTAGAAGCGTCCTGCAGCGGTGGTACCAGCGCGGGCTAGATTGTAGTGTCAGTAGAGAAGCTATAAGACATTATATACTAACTTAATGCAACTGGAGCGATAGCTGAACGAAGGTTCATGCGGCTCATTCCATTAACGATTGAACGGGTAGCCAAACCTTTAGAAAGTTAGCCGTGCGGTAATATGTAGAAAATACGCACCTCTAGAAACAACCTTGGATGGCTGTACGAAGCGTCTGCCTGCAACACGCACTGCTGGTACTCTCAACATTTTTAGATCGTCGTCTAAGAGAAGAGAGAAGACGGTGAGTGCGGGAGTAGGTGTTTAAAAAATGTACCGTAGGGCTATGTGAGGGGCTTTATGGTTAGAATATAGTATTATCACTTTTAGACGGTTACCCGCGCTGTGTGTATCCTCTTACTAGGCTTTACCGATTTACTTTTACGTCAAGCGAATAAACGGGGAGAAGTGTTGATTGCTGTTTGAAGGTGCTATTATTTGATGTACAGATTAACTCATTTTCTTATCAAAAAGATCGCCATTATGGGTAAAATTTTACTTTCAAATGACTTGAGATAGATGTATATTACGTATGTATAGCTTGTTTTTATGACCTTTTAAATAATACATCTACCCTTTTTGCATGCAAATTAAACGCTTAATAGCGCATAAATTGTGATGTCAGTCGATTAGCCAGTAGAAGAATTACACATTAATAAATAAAAGAGGAAGATACCTAATCGTTCTTATATCACTCATTTCACATCTTTACTCTTACCTTTCTACACCCTTTTTCCCATACCATGACGACAATCACCTCACAGCCATCGCCTACACGAGCGAGCATACAGCTGGACGGGCAGAGCAACTTGGAGTGCAAAATACCACGCTATTCTATCGAGCTTGAAGGTACATCAAACCAGTTTGTTAGCTACACCATACAATTCAACTCAAACTCAAGCTTGTACAAATCCAGCAACCAGGAAATCCAAAGAAGGTTCAAAGACTTTAAATTTCTACACACACAACTCTCAAACGCTTTCCAAGCATCCGTAATACCCCCACTTCCAGACCAGCATCGACTTGAGTATCTGACTGGCGACAGATTCAGTAATGAGTTTATTCAGCGACGCAGAACTGATCTCGAACGGTTTCTCCAGCGTCTGAGCAGACATCCGATTCTCAGGAAATCAAAACTCTTGATTGAGTTCTTTACGTCCACAGAATGGAACACTGTGATGCACAAATATAACTTCGAGACACAGTCTGCCTTAGAGCCACCGCACTCAATCTTGGACAACATATCCGACAGTCTCGTCAATGCTTTCACAAAAGTTAAGAAGGTTGATGATCGATTCTTAGCCCTGAAGGACAACCTCGACAGGTTGGATGACTCTCTCACATCAATTGAGAAAATAGTCGTCAAATTACGTACGAAAGTATCGAGTCAGTTTATTAATATACATCCTCAAAACTACCCTCTTACCTACTTGTCAGGTGTGGACAATACGGCTATCGATGTAGATCTTACAGGCGATTATGAGGATCAAGCAGGTGCCACACAATCGTTGGCTTATTTAGAATCAGGTATTACAGAACCACTTAACCGTTTCGCGCATGTCCAACTTCAGTTTTCTACGCTCTTGCGCGATTTGACTGTAACCGCTTACGAGCCCGTCTTAGACCACATACATTCGCTAAGGGGGTATGCAAATTCTCATAAAGCTGTACTCAAATTGCGCGATCAGAAGCAGTTGGATTTCGAGCAGTTGACAACCTATCTCTCGCAACTCTCCGTCCAGCACCAACGTTTGATGTCGGCTCAGCCGGTGATCGCTGGTGGTATTGGTGGATACATCCGCGACAGAGTCGATCACTTCCGTGGACAGGATGATGAGAGGTCTCGTCTGGAGAAGTTGCGCAAGCTCGAGGAACAAATGAAGGAGCTCGAGAAAGCCGTCGAAAATTCCTCTAAGCAGAATGTAGAGTTTAGCCAAGCTGTCCTGCGTGAACACTCAATATTTGACATGTCAAAGAGGATTGAGATGAAGGAGATATTACACCAGTTGTCGGAAGGACACGTGAAAGCGTATCAAAAGGTGTGTGATAATTCCTATCGACAGTATAAACTAATCATATTTCAGACGTCAGAGGAATTCGAAAGGCTGATACCACATTTACAGCGCATACGCGTAGATGTCTAATATACACCGTTATGTATGAATATGTATATATATTACAATAAATCTTTGAATCTACGTTTGGATGTTTCTAGCAATCCGATCTCGTCTTGGCGCATTTGCACAAGCATCGCATTTGTGATATTAACGTGCATAGGGTATTCTTTTAATCTTGCATCGATTTTGTCTATAAGACATTGTATGTATTCACGCAATGGTTTCTCAGCAACCTTACTTGACTGTTCGTAGGCCATAACTATGTGGTCTATTATCGCGATATCAGTCACTCCAAATAGACCCAGACTGACGCGAGCTTCTGAGTCGATATATAGATTACAATCATTGACGAACAACTCCTGGTCACTATCATTGAATTCCCACTGGAAGGCTATTGCATCGCCATCGAAACGAACTCTGTCAAATTCGTTAGCATCCAAAGTGAAACCATAGTCCATGGCTAGCTGAACATTCGAGAGTGTATCTCCATAACTGTTAAACAGCTCCTGGTGGGGTTCTATGGTCTCTGTGGTGACTATATCGACCGTCTGTTTGTCGTTTGTTTGAGAATGGCTAAGATTACCACAACAACCACAAACAAGGGTATCTGATTCGAATTCTACGGTAGATTCCTCCGTATGGTTGAATAAGTCTGCGACTGGGACCAGCCCGACGTCGTGATAGTTATCTATAGTAAAAAGTCTCGATGATGTGATAGCGTAGGCGTAGAGGTAGTCATTGAAAGAAATGCCATCCGCTAGAGGAGCCAGTGAAGTATGAAAGATATCCTCTAGCTGAGCTCTCGAATGTCGTCCTCGTATGCCTTCCTTTGTGTTACATAGACTGTCCAATTCCTTCGCGAGCTCCATACCATCCATTTCTGGAGTTGGTAGCCAGAGTGAGGCTATATCAGGTGCCTCTTTTGGTAGTGACTCTATGTAGCTCAGCCACGTGCTTCTTTCACCTCGATGTATTTCAAAAGCCAAGGCAAAAGAGAGTAAAACGACGCGACTCTGGTTGAGTTGAGATAATTGTTGATGCATTGAAGAATTTCTGATCGTGAGTAAAGCATCCTTCGGTACTTTTGCGACTATTTGGGCTCTTTAGCAGACTCAAGGTGTGTATAGTGAGCTCACTAGGGGTGCTCTTTAGAATGTAGTCATTGGACAAGACCCTGTCAGTTAGCAAGAGCAGTCTACTATCGAGTTCAACGCTGTGCTCTTTGCACCAATTCAGAAGAGAAGAATTCATTCGAGGGTTACAAAAGAGAAGACTCAGCAATTATCAGTGAAAGTAAAAAGGTTTCCTTCAAAATAATTAGGAAAGACTAATCGTAGAAGCATCATTTCTGCTGAGCTTCAAAGAAGCTGTTATGAAGGAACTCAAGTTAGGACATTTAAAGGCCGTCAACTGAAAATTTTAAATTAATTAAACAACGACAAAGTAAATAAATAGAGAAATATTAAGTGAATATCCCCAGATATTTATTTACTCATCCCGATTTGGACATATTTAGTGATTTTTTATTTCTCAGCTCAAGCCAGCTCATGGATCGCAGCCGTCGATTCCTTTCCAGTAAACTACAAAGTCAGTATTTAAATAGTGAATCCGTAAATTTACTAACGAACTTTATAGACACTAGAAGGTGCACTATTTTTGCTCGTATTTTCAGCTCTTTTCTAACGTTAGTTGCACAGCCATGGAAGAAGAAGTCGCAGCACTCGTTATTGACAACGGGTTAGTTGATTTACAGCGCTATACACTCTCATACTAATACACTCTCTAGTTCTGGTATGTGTAAGGCCGGTTTCGCCGGTGACGACGCACCAAGAGCTGTTTTCCCGTGCGTTTCGCCTCTTTAGTTTTTATCTTTATCCCTTACCCTTTACAGTTCAATCGTCGGTCGTCCACGTCACCAAGGTGTCATGGTCGGTATGGGTCAAAAGGACTCTTACGTCGGTGACGAAGCCCAATCAAAGCGTGGTATCCTCACCCTCAAATACCCAATTGAACACGGTATCGTCACTAACTGGGATGATATGGAAAAGATCTGGCATCACACTTTCTACAACGAGTTGCGTGTCGCACCTGAGGAGCACCCTGTCTTATTAACTGAGGCTCCACTCAACCCAAAGGCTAACAGAGAAAAAATGACTCAAATTATGTTTGAAACTTTCAACGCACCAGCATTTTACGTCGCTATCCAAGCTGTTTTGTCTTTATACGCATCTGGTAGAACAACTGGTATTGTTTTAGATTCAGGTGATGGTGTCTCACACACAGTCCCAATTTATGAAGGTTACGCACTCCCACACGCAATTATTAGATTAGATTTAGCAGGTAGAGATTTAACTGATTATTTGATTAAAATTTTGATGGAAAGAGGATATCCATTCACCACCTCAGCTGAACGTGAAATCGTCAGAGATATCAAGGAACGTTTATGTTACGTTGCACTCGACTTCGACCAAGAGTTGCAAACTGCTAACCAATCTTCCGCTTTGGAGAAGAGCTACGAATTGCCAGATGGTCAAGTTATCACCATCGGTAACGAGCGTTTCAGAGCACCAGAAGGTCTCTTCAAGCCATCCTTACTCGGTCTTGAAGCTGCAGGTATCCACGAGACTACCTACAACTCTATCATGAAGTGTGATCTTGACATCCGTAAGGACCTCTACGGTAACGTTGTCATGTCAGGTGGTACTACTATGTACCACGGTATTCCAGACCGTATGCAAAAGGAATTGACTGGTTTGGCCCCATCCTCAATGAAGGTCAAGATTGTCGCCCCACCAGAACGTAAGTACTCTGTATGGATTGGTGGTTCTATTCTTGCATCACTTTCAACCTTCCAACAAATGTGGATCTCCAAGCAAGAATATGATGAATCTGGTCCTTCAATCGTTCACCGCAAGTGTTTCTAAGCTGGGGTTTGATATCGTTTAGTTGGCTTTTGCCAAGTCAGCTAATTAAATGAATGAAAAAATATTTGAAAAATTTACGTTATTACCATGTCTTTCTTCTTTTATAACTTTTATATTCTTTTATTACCCTGTGTTGCAGAAATCAACGAATTTAAAAAAAAAATTTATGTGCAGATTTTTGTGTTATACATGCGAATAAAAATATAAAATACAAGACGTCTATCTAGTCAATTTCTTCTGTTTGTATTTCATGATAAACGACGTGGGCGCCTGATCGATAATGATTGTTATTCGATTTCAGACTCTTTTTCGTGTTCTTTATGGTGAGCTCTTTAAAGAAATCATTTGAGGCTTTCTCGTTCACTTCTATGGACATCAACTCAGACAACAATTTGTCATTTTCTTTGTCCAATTTTTCAAGTGTCTGAGATTCATAATCAAGGTGCTGTTTGAGTATCTCGTTGTTCTCTTCAATGAGATGATACTGCGCTGATGCGTAAGTGTATTGAGGGAGGTAAAATGGTTGGTTAGGATCGTCGGGTATAGACTGAAAGATACTCTCATCTATGAGGTCAATGTAGGCGCTTTCATCTTCCTTGATAGATTGATCAGGTTCGGTTACATCTTGAGAATCGTCAGGGGCACCGTCTTCTAGCTTTTGCTTTTTCTTGCGCTCGCTTGGTGGTAATGGAACTGTCTTACCTGATGGAAGTGTTTCTACGTGATGCTGCATTTTCATATGCTTCGCGAGAGCATCTGAACGCGTGAATGACCTGTCACACTCTGCTTTCTCCTGCTGTCGTTGTCGTTAGTTGCCGCTGTTTTCTACTATTTTTCACTCTTACACAAATGAATGGCTTATCGGCTGTATGTGAACGTAAGTGTGCTATCAAAGCGAAACGAGAAGATTGATTTTTGCCTTTACGTGAACAACTCTGCCATTCGCAGGTATATTTACCATTTGGTCGCTGACCGATGTGGTCTGAGGAGGTGTCAAAGCGTTTAGACTGTATAAATTGACTATATACCATTTGTAATGTGCTCTATAAGTAAATGCTGATCACCGAAGACGATAAAGCAATCGTCCCACAAGCAGCTGACGACAGGTCCCCAGTCAGGCATACCAGCGGGCGTAACTTGTTCAGTCGGTATACTCTCATCGTATTGACCATCTGGCGTTGGTGAACGTGAGAGTATTTCGCTCAGATTGTCGTCATCGAGCTCTAAAATATCCCGCTTCTGGGATGTCATCGTTGTTTTAAAGGAAGAAGTAAATAATTATACTATAATAAAAGATTTATATATATTTTAAATAAAAAAGTTTTTTATTTTCTCATATTCTGCTGACGCATGCGTTTACGTTATACCATCATGAGCAACGATCCACAAGTAAAGAAGGAGGAATCAGCTGAAGATACTTCTACGGCGATCCTTAGACCAAAATCTAGGTATGTAGCTAGACGTCCTTCTCCTTTCCTCTAACGAATTACAGTCCAAACCGTTTGATTGTCGATGAAGTCCGTTTTTAGCAATTTATTAATATTACAGGCTGACGTTCTATAGGCAACAGCAGACGACAACAGTGTGGCTACTATAAACCCAGCAACGATGGAAACTCTCGGCTTATTCCGTGGTGACACTATCATCGTCAGAGGTAAAAAGCGCAAGGACACAGTCCTCATCTGTCTCTCCTCTGACGATGTCGACGAGGGCAAAATACAAATGAACAAAGTCGCACGTAACAACCTCCGCGTAAAGCTCGGTGACGTAGCTAACATTCACGCTTGCCCTGAAATTAAGTACGGAAAGCGTATCCACGTTTTACCTTTCGACGACAGCATTGAAGGTCTCACTGGTAACATCTTCGATGTCTACCTTAAGCCATATTTCTTAGAGGGTGTGTCTCTTCGGCATTTTTTCTGCACTTTCTAACCCTACGTAGCATACCGTCCTGTCCGTAAGAACGACACCTTCCTAGTTAGAGGTGGTATGCGTACTGTTGAGTTCAAGGTCGTCGAGTGCGATCCATCCGAATTCTGTATTGTCGCACAAGATACCGTCATACACACAGAGGGTGACCCAATCAAGCGTGAAGATGAGGAGTCTAATCTCAATGAAGTTGGTTATGATGATCTTGGTGGTTGCAGAAAGCAACTCGCTCAAGTTCGTGAATTAGTCGAATTGCCTTTAAGACATCCACAACTTTTCAAATCCATTGGTATCAAACCTCCACGTGGTATCTTGATGTACGGTCCACCTGGTACCGGTAAAACTCTCATGGCTAGAGCTGTAGCTAATGAAACCGGCGCTTTCTTCTTCTTGATAAACGGTCCAGAAATTATGTCTAAAATGGCTGGTGAATCTGAATCAAACCTCCGTAAAGCTTTCGAAGAAGCTGAAAAGAATTCACCTGCTATCGTTTTCATTGATGAAATTGACGCTATTGCACCAAAGCGTGAAAAGACCAACGGTGAAGTTGAAAGAAGAGTAGTATCACAATTGTTGACACTCATGGATGGATTAAAAGCACGTTCAAACATTGTCGTTATGGCAGCAACCAACAGACCAAACTCTATCGATCCTGCTTTGAGACGTTTCGGTAGATTCGACAGAGAAGTTGATATCGGTATCCCAGATCCAATTGGTAGACTTGAAATCTTACGTATTCACACTAAGAACATGAAACTCGGCGATGATGTCAACCTTGAACAAATTGCAGCAGATACTCATGGTTACGTTGGTGCGGATATGGCTAGCTTGTGCTCTGAAGCTGCTATGCAACAAATTAGAGAAAAGATGGACTTGATCGATCTCGATGAAGACACTATCGATGCTGAAGTCCTTGACGCACTGGGTGTTACAATGGAGAACTTCCGTTACGCTCTTGGTGTATCTAACCCATCTGCACTCCGTGAAACTGTCGTTGAAGTTCCTACTGTCACCTGGAACGACATTGGTGGTCTTGATAAGGTTAAGCAAGAATTACAAGAAACTGTTCAATACCCAGTTGAACATCCAGAAAAATTCATCAAGTACGGTATGTCACCATCTAAGGGTGTTCTCTTCTATGGTCCACCAGGTACTGGTAAAACATTGCTTGCTAAGGCTATAGCAAATGAATGTCAAGCAAACTTTATCTCAATTAAGGGTCCAGAATTATTGACAATGTGGTATGGTGAATCTGAAGCCAATGTTAGAGATGCATTCGATAAGGCTAGAGCAGCAGCACCATGTGTTATGTTCTTTGATGAATTAGATTCAATTGCTAAGTCAAGAGGCGCAGGTGCAGGTGGTGATGCAGGTGGTGCTTCTGACAGAGTTCTTAACCAAATTTTGACGGAAATGGATGGTATGTCAGCCAAGAAGAACGTATTCGTTATTGGTGCAACTAACAGACCTGATCAAATTGATCCAGCATTGTTACGTCCTGGTAGATTAGATCAATTAATTTACATTCCATTACCGGATGTTCCATCTAGATTATCAATTCTTAAAGCAACACTTCGTAAATCACCAGTTGCACCATCAGTGGATCTTGAATTCCTTGCGAACCAAACTCATGGTTTCTCTGGTGCTGATTTGACTGAAGTTTGTCAAAGAGCCGCTAAATTAGCAATTAGAGAGTCAATTAACGCTGATATAGAAGCAAAACGTGCACAAAAGGAGAAATTAATAGCTGAAGGTGCTGATCTTGATGCTGCAATGGAGGAAGATGTTGACAATGATCCGGTACCTGAAATTACGATCGCACACTTTGAAGAAGCAATGAGATTCGCTAGAAGATCTGTATCTGATCAAGACATTAGAAGATACGAAATGTTTGCACAAAATCTCCAACAATCTAGATCATTTGGCAGTCAATTTAGATTCCCTGGACAAGGTGAACAAGGTGCTTCTCAAGAGCAAGATGGTCAAGGTCAATTTGGATCTGGCGGGGATGACGCTGATGATCTCTACGCATAGGTTGCTTTTCTCATTTCTTTGTAAAATTTTGAAAGTATTTTTTATTCGATATTCAAAAGCAATAAGTAAATAATATTATGCATTATCTATATATAAAAGGAAAGAATAAATAGATTAGAGAGTTTATTTACCAGCCATCCGCTTGGATTTGCCTGGTCTTGAATTCTTCGATTTACCACCTTTAAATGGTGCATTAGTTGATTCCTTTGTGTTAGATTTTGCGTATTTCTTTTTACCACCATGTCCAAACTTGGCATCACGTGCGTTTCTTGACATTTTTCTCTTCTTTTTGTCTTCACCGCCCTCGAGTGCATCTTCAAGCTGTATATCGAAATCGTCATCACCAGCGTCAAGGCCTTCAACACCACCCTTTTTACGTTTGAGTGATTTGACTTTATCGACCATTTCCTTTTTGCTCTTCTGTCTCTCAAGCGTCTTCTCGTTTTGAACCTTCTTACCAACCTTCTTCAATTCACGTTGTTTACGAGCGCGTTCTGAGGCTTCAATGTTGCTCTTTTCATCTAACATCTTTTGACGAATCTTCTCCATTTGTACATCAGTTTTAACCATTTCTGCGAAGAAATCTGTCGGTCTGGTGAATGGAGTACCAGATTTGAGAATCTCTGGTTTAGCTTTGTTGACTGCGTCTAATGATTGCTTGTAGAATGCTAATTCACGTGATAAATCATCGTATACGTCTACAGCACCATAATCTGTGATGGATTGATTTGCTGTGACTGCGAGTGTTTCAATAAAGGGAAGTTTATCACTGAGCTTTATGTTTGATAGGATGCGACTGATTGCTGCTTTGTTGTTCACGACGACTTTAGTTTTGATTTGAGCGCGGGTGTCTTCGTCGACTTCGCCAGTGACATCTTCGAGAGCGACGTCTTCTTCCTCCTCTGAAGCGTCTTCTTCTTCGTCCTCTGGGGCATCATTAATGAAACTATCTTCCTCTTCCTCTTCCTCGTCTTCCTCTTCGTCATTTTCTTCCTCGTCTTCGTCGTCTTCTCCAGATAATTCTGCCTCGTCGTCAAGCAAATCGTCTGATTTTCCAGTCTAAATAGCTATTAGATATTAGTACAAGATAGTAAAGAATACTAACCTCTAATTGGTCGAGGTAAGCGAGCTGATCTTTAGCTTGTTGATCTAAACCGTCCTCACCTAAAAGTTGGATGATTTTTTGCATCGATTCCTCTGTAACGCCATCATAGTTCTCCTCCTCTGAACTGTTATCCTCATCTTCATCCAATTTTAAAACATTTTTAATTTCCTTTCTTTTGACCATCGTCGCTGTTGATCAAGGTGTATAGTAATGTCAACCATCGGATTTGAAGAATTAATCAATAAGTACACTACAGTATTGTTCGACTGTGATGGTGTTTTATGGAGAGTTAGTTTACTTTCCTTTATTTCCTACTCTAATCGAGTCATAGGGAAATGAACTCATCCCAGGAAGTAAAGAGTTCATAGATCACCTTAGAAAGCACAATAAGAGACTCATTTTTGTCACTAACAACGCTAGTCAATCTAGAGAGCAATACCGTACTAAATTTCAGAAGTTTGGCTTGGATGTCTCAACTGATGAAATCTACGGCAGCGCATACGCAGCTACCGTCTATTTGAAGTACAAATTAAAGTCTAAGAAAGCATTCGTTATTGGTATGTCTGGTTTGGAACACGAATTAGATACCGAAGGGATTGAACACATCGGTGGTACATCAGAAGAATACAACAAGTTAACGACTGATATTGATTTCAAGGGTATAAAAGACTCAATTGATCCTTCAGTAGATACAGTACTTTGCGGTATGGATTTGATGTTAAACTACTCAAAATTATCGCACGCGTTCAGTTACTTGGAAAACAAGAACGTTAATTTCGTTCTGACTAATGATGATAGTACATTCCCACAGTCAGCCGGTATATTCCCAGGAAGTGGTAGTTTGTCAGCCCCATTGATATTAGCTTCAGGTAGAACACCAACCGTTGTAGGCAAACCAAATAAAGAAATGCTCGATTGTATTCTTGACAAGAACCACTTGAATAATGAAGAAACACTCATGATTGGTGATAGACTGAATACAGACATAAAGTTCGGACAAGAGGGTGGTTTAGACACACTCCTAGTTTTATCAGGCGTTTCAAAACGTGAAGATATAGAGAAGGAAAATATTTATCCAAAGTACATATTAAATTCCCTGGATGATTTGAATTAGTATGTTAGAGATAGACATAGAACCCTCTTGAAAGATAACGCAGTTTTGTAAAGTGATCATTTTTAAACATACGCTCTTATTCAAAGCTATGATTCACACGTGTGTTGTAAATTCTCAATCATCGGGTCCCTCTTTTATTTACTCACCATTGTTGTTACTCTTCAAAGAACATATCCGCTCTCGTTTAAGAATTTCAAAAAAAATAAAAAAATGTGATTACAAGAACACTGAAATACGTCACGTTTCTGACTGCTACCATTAGTAAATGAGGAAGCGTCAGGAAAACAGTGACACTTCTAGCAGTTCACCTAGCAGCTCCTCTAGCTCCTCTAGTAGCTCGTCTAATACATCCTCACCTACGAGCACTTCGTCAAATTCCTCGTCGAATACCAGCAGGTGAGTGTCTTGTTTTTTTTACTAGCTGACCATCTAAACCCGTCCTAGTAGCTCAAGTTCTACTTCCAATTCATCCTCTTCTCCAAGCAGCTCAAGTAGTTCAAATACCCCTAGCGATTCGAGCACATCAAGCAGCTCAGAGTCAAGCTCAGCTAGCGACAGACCAACAACTTCTATCGTTACTGTGACACTCTCAAATGGTCAGTATAGCGACCTATACATGACTATACATTCTGACACCAGACAGGTTCATCAACTACAAGCGCTACAACAATCCCAGCAAATGATGGCAGCTCAGGAGGGGGCAAGAACATCGGTGCGATAGTCGGTGGCAGTGTCGGTGGTGGTGTTGGCGCAATTCTCATCCTTCTTCTCGCATTGTTCTTTATCAGGAGGTCCCTTAAGAAAAAGAAACTAAACAATAATTACGACGGAGATATATTTGACCCTCAGAGATTCAGACCAGAGAATGGTGAAAATTTTGAAATAGATAACGCACCAACGCCATACGTTCAGCATCCCGCGACAAGTAGTATGGCTGGATCATCAGCTGGTGGTATGGCAGGTGTAGGTGCAGCAGGTGCTATGGCATCTATACCAGCATCATCTACCCAACCGCCATCAGCACATTCCGGAAGCACAAATCAGCCTATAGGAACTGCAAATGGAGCTAATAATGTCAAGCGTCCATTACAGCCTTCTCAGACATCTGCTGTCAATGTTCACGCCGACGCCGGGAGATACGCTGTCCAGAATGAGGACCCAGATAATTTACGTTCTGACATACCACCAACTTACGACTCTATCTCACGTTAGCTTTGGTCACTTATAGGGTTTTATTTCACTAATGTACCTTCTATTTATTCGATTATTACGTGTTACCTAGAGTTATTTTTATGACATGTTCAGGTACGATCTAGGTACGACAAAGGCGGCGAAGTAGTACAATGGTCGAGTACGTATTGTTCGGGTAGCATTTTCAATATAATCTGGGTTCAATTCCCAGCTTCGCCCCTGTGTACATGCTTTTCAGTATATGACATTATGTCGTTTTAAGGCAGTCAGACAGATGTGTGTGCTTTATATTAATCGCTGGAAAAAGGATGCAAGTGGAAGGACCCTCATCTCGATTAATAAATAGAGATATGCAATTCAGCGACTATGTTTGGTATTCGCCGAGTGTGTCACACATCTCATTGAATCTACATTTACATTTACACTCGGTTGAATGTTTAGTTAGAGTTTCACATCTGATAACTTTTGATACAGTGTATAGTGTAGTGTAGATCATAGGAAGTACAGCAAATGTCTATTTCTAATAATATCAACACACCCGTTAAAGCGGATGAAATGATGAATTTGGTGCTTCTAATTAACTTGTACTCTTATATTGAAGGTGTTGAACTATACTTAGCATCAATTGGGGTTCATACAAAACACTTTAAGGTGTATTCTTTGAATAATTGTCTATAATAATCTACTGGATTGAAATGCGCACATAGCAGCCGACAATGGAATTGTTGTGAAAATGAAATTTAGTCTTTGTTGTTGTTTCGTTATTTACTTTCCATTGCAACTTGTCTATCAGCTTTGTCTACACTACCATCACACATGAGCCAGATTTTAACTTAGCTAGAGATAAAGGTGGAATAGTTAAATGGAGCCAAATCATATTCGACAATTTATTTTTCATTGTCATTATCGTGTTGGTATTATGTTATTCTAACATTTACAATAAATAGCAGTGTAGGATTATCCGTTCAAATAGACTAGAAGCTACAGTGAAAGCCAAAATAATCAGCTGTTTGACCACTTTAAATTCAGCCTCCTAATAATTAACCACCCTCCCCTCCAAGTATGGAACATACAGTTTTAGTATATGCGAATGAGACTCGACTCAGCAGTTGTTTTCATCTGCGAAGACTACATGAAGTCGTTGAAAAATGGTTATCATAGCGAAAAGATCATTCTATACTTACTGTGAGCGTTGCATTCTTGCTAATTTGCCTTTTATTTATACTCAAAGAGAGGTATTGTTCCTCAGTGAGTTCTATGCTAATCGTCTGTTTGAAAGGCTGACTGATTGATTTTCACTTTCTCTTAATAACAAAGTAGTAGCTGATCCTGTGGATACAAAATGTGGACCTCCAGGACCGTAATAATACCACAGGAAGTTTCAACTTGACAATCACGGTGTATTATTTACTTAATACATTCGTTAGACGTATATGTTTGCTGTAATTTTAATTTCAAGCGCGTTAGCGTCGTATACCCAAGTATTGTTATTCAAAGTTGTCTCAAACTTGATCTTGAAAATTGAAAACAGACTTTTAGAAACACTCAACTTGGTGTCATATAAAAGTATACATCTCAATAATCAATTTTTTGTATAGCGACCTTCCAGTCAGGATGATATACGAGGTATAGATCACGATTTAGATAGGAACATCCTCGAGATCGGTAGAAGGAATATACGTTATTGCGTACGTTTTAATAATAGAGCTCCAGAGATAATCAAGAAGTCTTATGAAGGTATAGGATTGGACAACAGCTGACCTGATAAACGCATATAAAGACACTCGTTCGGGTGAGCTGTCTTGCCAATTAACTTCTGGAGTGATGGCATTGAGTGGATATGATTTAGATCAGAATGTTTAAATGTATGCACTCCCCATGATGATCATCTCGCTATTAAGCCAAGAAATCGAAACGGTATATCTCGGATCGAGATTAATGATGTCGGCCAGCTCATAAGCATGAATACGCGAGTTGTAGTTATAGATTTGTTACAATAGGATATCTCGTGAGATACGTTTTACATAGGATAATATCAGAGTCTCTCGAGAAAGCATTTTACGTTATTTATAATTACATCAGCGTTAAACTAACTGACTTAGCTCGCGATAACACTAAAATTGGTTGCAATTAGAAATCCAGTACATTCCTAGTTAAAGCAATACAAATCACACTAACAATGTAGTATTGTGATATATTGTTATGTAGACTAATAACCCCAGATACAGAAGATTTAGAGAGATATCTCGTAGTAAGTAAAATAACTCAGCAGTACTATATAAAATAAAGCTGCAATGTATGCACCTACTCGTTAAATAAACTTTGCTTCCATTTGTCTGCTATTTGACTTTTTTATGACAATACAAAGAAAAAAAAAGATCCTGCTACTTAGTTGAGAGTCACAAAAGATATTGTAAGAACTCAAAGCTCCTCCTAATCACTGTCGTCATTTCGATAGGGCTTCAGATAAACGTTTTAGAGGTTTCTGGTACAATTACAGGATAACAAAATTACCAACAAAGTCTACATGAACGTTCACAAATGATAAATTAAAATATTTTTATCTAATTCGTCATATTCTCGCTAAACTGTCTCATCAGACACCCATGAGAGGGAATGTACGGCGAATATCAACGAGTTACAAATTCAGGAATGTCCTTGGTGTGTAGATTAATACTAAATTACTCATAATACTAATGTTGCAGGCACTGGGTCATTTACTGTTGAGCCACCAAAAGCGGTAGGAATAGCGAGCAGTCGAGGGCAACGACTGTATCAAGAGGATGCACTATCCGCGAAAGTTCTCAATTTACCAATGACACCTTCAATGAAAGACAATCAGTGTGCGTATTTTGGGATATTCGACGGACATGGCGGTCCATTCGTTTCACAATACTTACGTGACCATCTGGCGAATTTAATTGAACGTATTAGTAAACGTGATTGGAGCCTACTTGATTATTTCCGCGTATATGGTCTGTTTAGCCTTCTCTGGCTGACGTTGCTGAAATGACGACAGGAAATTATTTCCCCTACGACAAAGGGCATAGCGGTGAACTGACTATTAAAGAGCGTCTCATGCTCGCTTTCTTGAAGGCTGATAAAGCTGCGATAACAGATGCACAAAATAGGGCCTACATGTGTGGCTCGACGGCATCCGTTCTTCTCCTACAGAGTTTAGATGACCCCCCAGCATCTTATGCATTTAGTGGACGTCTGCAAATGTCAACTGCTCACTGTGGTGATACTGCAATTCTCCTCGTTAAGGCTCACTCAGGCACTGTTGAGCGTCTTACAGATGACGACCACGCTGATAATATAGGCGAGGCAGCTAGGTTGAAACACTTTCGTGGTGCTCTCGTTCAGGATAGCTACGGTGAAAGTAGACTACTAGGCCAGATCGCGAACACTCGTAGTATTGGCGATGCAAAGTACAAATCCTGGGGTGTTACTGCTGAACCGCACACCAGAAGTTCAGAAATCGACGGGCGGAATTACAGTCTAGCGATATTAGTCAGTGATGGCATCCTCAATACTATATCTATACAGGAAATTGCTGATGTAGCTCGTTCGAAATTTGCTCAACAGCTTGTACGTGGTCGCGCAGCACAGGCAGCAGCGCAAGCAGTTGTAGATTTTGCCATAGACGTAGGCGCGGATGACAATTGCTCTGCGCTCGCTGTACCTCTCCCCGGATTTATGACCGCAGGTAAAGGTCGAGACAAGACTCGCGATTTACGTGATTATAGATTGCAGCTTGCAAATGATCCAGATAGTGTCAGACAGAGAAGACAGTAACTTTGTAATTTATGTATTATTCTATATCATCAGTTTACATGACTGCTGCTTGTTGATCACGCCATGATTCGAAACTGGTTAGCATCTCAGTCGTAATCCGGCGTCTGACTGCCCAGCACGCGTCGATAAAATGTTGCTTCTTAACCTATCATATATTAGCAGGTAAAAGTTTCACGAAAAATTCACTCACATGTTCAGCGTTGAGACTTTCCTGCATTGCCCTCATTGCAGCATCTTGACAGATACTGACTATTTCTGCACCACTACATCCTTGTGTCTGTCTATGTATTATATATGGACTTTCCGACTTGGCAAATACTTACCATCTTCGACAATTCGTCAAGATCTATACCTTCCTCGACTGTCATCTTGGCCAAGCGTAGTGCAAAGAGCTGCTTTCGAGCCTCTTGTTCAGGAGGTCCGACGTATCTAAATGAGTGTCAGTCGAGAATATCATTATATGAACAATGTACTGACATTATCCTATCCAGTCGGCCGGGACGCATCAAAGCAGGGTCCTTAGCGATGTTATTACACATAAGCAAGATCTAAACATAAACTCACTATAACTTGCGGTTTGTTTGTAGCAGCCAGGACAGTTACACCGTTGAGTTCCTCTATACCGTCCATCTTGGGTTGTCGTTAGTAAAATATTTTACAAGTAAGTGTCAACCCACCTCATTAAGCATACTTGCGACCATTCCAGAGGTAGTAGAAGAGTTGTCATCACGTGCACTGGCGATACTGTCAATCTCATCCTATTTATTTAGTTAGATTTATCATGAACAACAAATGTGACAGACAAAGAAGATGATAGATGGAGCAGCCGCTCTTGCTTTCGCGAAAATATCTCTGATAGCGCGCTCGGAACCACCCACGAATTTATCAAGCAGCTGTTAAAAGTATGAATATGGAAATATAAAATGGGCGAGATATACTCACTTCTGGTCCTTTAACAGCAAGGAAGTTTATGCCACTTTCACCCGCTAAGGCTTTCGCTGCGAGTGTCTTCGAACATCCCGGAGGACCGTAAAGGAGAACGCCACGAGGTGGGGTCAGGCCGAGCCTTACAAATGTGTCAGCATGTCTTTGAGGCCAGATGACACTTTGCTCGAGAGACTTCTTGACGTGCTCCTGACCTGCTATATCGCTGAAGCGAGTCTCAGGGAGCGTTAGCTGGACTGACCGCAATGCAGATGGACGGATGTGCGGCAAGGCGTCGACAAGATCTTGAACTTGAAGGTATGCATCAGTTTTTTCCTCTATAGAACGCTTGATTGCACGCGTGGAAGCTGCTCGGACTAATGATGAGAGATCTGCACCAACGAATCCATGAGTCTTTGTAGCAACACTGTGAATATCCTCGGCGGTTACATTTCGTGGCATGCTATTTATTTGTTTTGTGAGTATCTCGTAGCGTTGACTAGCATCGGGGATTCCTACTTCAATTTCGCGATCGAGACGCCCTGGTCGTCTAAGTGCGCTATCGAGTGCATTAGGACGGTTTGTCGTACCTATGAGGAAAACGCTTGGAGAGTTAGTATCCTTTCCGTTATTCATCCCGTCGAGCTCTGTGAGTAGCGTCGCGACAACACGTTTCTCAACTTCGCCTGTGCTTCCGTCGCCATCGCGACTAGGACAGAGAGTGTCGATCTCATCTATAACTACTATAACGCCCTTGTTTTGTGTGAGTGATCGAGCGTGTGTGAATACTTTGCGGAGGTTGTCTTCGGTTTCGCCGTGGTATGCTGAAGACAACTCGGGTCCATTTACGAGAAGAATTGGCAAACTCAAAATTGTAGCTGCGGAACGAGCAAGGAGCGTCTTACCAGTACCTGGAGGACCATGTAAGAGGAGACCTTTCGGTGGTTTGACCGCAAATCGGGTGAATAAGTCCGGGTAATTGAGCGGTAAGCCAATCAAATCAGATATCTCATTGATCTGCTTGGACAGACCACCTATGAGGGGTCTCTCTGTGGATGGTTCTATCAACGTGGCTTGTGATGTCAGAGACTCGTTCTGGGTGGATGAGTTAAGACGTATGGTCGTCGAGGGTGTCACTTCATATGCTCTTCTGTTGTCATTGAGTGCAAGGGTCGAAAGGCCGGTATCCAGGTCTAAAACCTTGAAATGGTTCAGCTTAGACTTGAAATGAAGAGAGAACTTGAATTCGGGCTTCAAGAAACGCAACTCAACGAGGAAATCTTTTATTAAGGCTTGCAGCAATCTAGATTGCCTATCATCGAGCTGTAAATCCGTGTCTATTGAAATGGAAGATATCGGGATAAGGTTGAGTTTGGACAAGTCAGTCAGAATTTCTACATTAGTAGGTTGATTAACACCTAGTTGATTGAATAAGGGTGTATGTACACCAATCAATTCGTCTTCGGTGTTACTTGGCCATGCAGATCCAACGATGAAGGAAGAATTCGCTTCTATAACGACTAATTGCGAAATTTGTAAGCGAATTTCTCTCAATTTAGTGTTATTTATATAAATTCTGTTATTCTGTCTATTATTAGCTGCATTCCCTATATTCTGTATGATCATTGTAAAAATTTAAGAACGTCAATGATGTCATATTAATTGATCACGTGTGCGATTGTTCTCGATTAATGACCGGTAAATAGTAGCGAGTTGTACATAAACGATCATGTCACATAGTCTCGAAGTGAGTGTAGAGTTCAACTATAGAGGACAGTGACTTAGACGAAGGCAAACAACCACAACATCTTGGAAGAAGCTGTCAACGTAGCCAAAAGAGTGAGTGCGACCGTTCAACTATAAGAGGAATACTGATAGACACCTCCTAGGCGAGCTTCGACAGCAATTCACTTAGTCACTTAGAATCATTAGCTGTGGGTGGGAAATTATTTGACACAATATAAACTGACGAAAGCAGAGTGAGAGAGCACAATTGGTGCACAAGCATAGAGAGTTGCACGACGATGACGCTGAACAGGATGTTACTAGCGTAAGTGGGGCTCTAAGCGACGACGGATCTAACAGAAAGATAGGTTCACTTGTATGGCCAAAGAGCTCGTGGATTATCAATTGGCCATGACTATGAACATCGTAAAAGCGTCAGCTCATAAAGTCAGAAGTAACCTCAAAATCGCGAATTTTCATTTCAGATTTCACCTATTTTCAGATTTTCTTGTATTTAACAAAGACCTATACATAAAAAGCTACAGAATGGCGTTTAGAACTTTGCGAAAGCCTTAGCAGCAGCCTTGTTCTTGATGACACGGAGAACGTTGAATCTGACGGTCTTTGAGAGTGGGCGGCATTGACCGACGACGACTTGGTCACCGACTTCGATACGGAAGGCAGGGGAAGCGTGGACTGGGAGGTTCTTGTGGCGCTTCTCGTATCTGTTGTACTTTGGAACGTAGTGAAGGTATTCTCTACGGATGACGATAGTTCTTGTCATCTTGGTAGAGACGACCTTTCCGGTCAAGATACGGCCTCTGATGGAGACTTCACCGGTCCATGGGCACTTCTTGTCGATGTAAGTGCCGGTGACAGCCTCTTGAGGAGTCTTGAAGCCTAAACCGACGTCCTGAGGTTCTGCTGTTAGATGACGGTACTAGTAAGATGTGGCTACTAACTTTGTACCAGCGACGGTCCTTGGTGACCTTCTTGTTACCGCGGGTCTTTGAGTTTTGGAAGATAGGTTGCTATTCAAGGTTAGTGATATTAACTAGAAAATAGCAACGCACCTTTGGGAAAGTCTTGAGTTGTTGTGCCTCCATCGCGCCTATCTAACTCTGTGCTGACTGACTGCCTGGAAGAAGAAGCGAAGTGAGCCCTCAGATTTTACACTCACGATCAAAAATTCAAAAAGTTTATAAATTTCTAACTAAATAATAGTTTTTATTTATTTATTCTTTCATTCATTCTTTTAATTTTTATTCTACAGGCTTATTATTTATGCTAGCTAGCTATCCACCCAGACATTCCTCGAGCAGGCGACGAGCTGGTTGAAGGCATCGTCCCGCCGTGCTACATTTGTTAGTCGCATCACTTTCACATCCTCTTCCTCCTCCCAGCTCAGCTCGAGTCCGCTGCTGACTTCGACTCCTACACGCAGGCTCGTATTCTTGCGCACAGCCACCAGGGCGTCCAGCTGCACTACAACGTCAGGCCCTTTGAATGGCTTGAAACGTAGCTCACTCGAGTTCAGCGCGAGCGTCCCTGGCGATGACTTCAGTATTGCGAAATGCGTCGACCTGAGAGGCAGATAAGCGACCCTTGATGGCTCCAGTCCAATGTGACGCTTGCTCTTTATTGATCCATTATCGCTCTCCTGCGATAGCATCTCAGACGTGCGCTCAGAGTCCTCGTCATTCCTGCTTGCCCAGACTTCTTGCGCTTGTCTGATAAAAACACCTTTATCGCCATTAATTACTTGGCTTATCATATCTGTGCCTCGCTCTGCTGCTTTCCCGCCGCGTTGGAGAGACGCCGCCATTCGTGACCACTTGCTACCGCCCTTCTTTGGGCTCTTGATGATTTCAGTGCTATCTGTGTTGTCGTTATTCGGATTGCGAGGTGCATCTGTCTTCTTTCTGGTCTCTTTCTTTAATGGGTCGGCGAGTACGGGAAGTGGTTCATTTTTACGCACGCGTTGGCGCATCACACTAAGCGCATACTGTGCATCCGTCGGAACCTCAGGCATATTCCATGCCATGCGCCTGTAGCGCGGGTAATTGATCGTGATTGGTATCCAGATGAAAATAACAAAACCTAGCCCTGCTAAGCTACCCCTCACTAGGGCAGCATGGGATATAAATTGCAGACCAATTAACGCTGGCAGTACTGCTCTGAGTATGAAGTTGCGCGTTGCTTTTGGTTTTCTCCAGAGGTATAAGCTTGGTTATTCACGTTAGAAGTACTATGGATTAAGTGACACACTCACTTCTTTAACTTTTCGATAAAGTCAGCTAAATCTCCGGTCACAAGCTGGATTTCACGGCCATGTGATTCAGTTATGGCTTTGTATGCTTCCTTCATGCTCTTCTCGCGTTGACCCGGGGCATTATTGCCGTCTACATCTAACCCAAACTCAGCCTCCAAGTCAACAATCTCCCTAGCGCGTTCCTGCTCATCTTTGCTTGACTCTATCTGAGAAGAAGATGATGGGGGGAAAACTTTCCTAGAGGTAATTCCAATCAGGACACCAGCGATGATTGTATTCAAGAGCATGTCCGTGAAAACAAGCGTAAGGTATATAGTTACGACTAGGAATGTCAATGGGCGGTTCTTCCACATAATGATATTTCCAAACTGTTTCATACCATCCATGACTGAGTTTGTGGACAAATTTACATAAAGACGCTCAACATTTGAGACTAACTTAGCGTAACGAAACTGCTGGTGTGGATTTTGGTCAAGTTCTACTGGTAGATATTGTTCAACTTTGTAGAGAAAGTAAGCCAACCCGTATGCGAGATAGTCTATGCGGTGCTGTTCATGAGAAGTGTCGTCGATTTCCTCCTTGCTCATATCGTCGGACTGATTTTGCTTAATGTCGTGCTCACTTTCCTGCTCAACATCAATCAGAGCGTCCTGGTTGTAAACATCCGCACTAGACCAGACACCCTCGTGGTCATGACCAAGTTTTGTGTCGTGTGGGATTTCAGTAACTGCTTCACTAGATTCTGCTTCCTCGTCCGCTTCTTCTTTTTGTGCGTCTTCTTTCTTTTTTCGCGCAGCTAGTGCACGCTCTTTGACAAGCTGCGCATCGGTTTTGTAGGCATAATCACCGAGCTGTGGTTTGCGGGAGTAGGATTTGTATGGCTCTGTCGAGTTATAGGCGGCTGAGACGGAGGATATGTGTCTAGCAAAAAATGACAAATAGTTCGCGATGTAGTTATCCTCTATGAGTTTTTCTAGGTTTGGTGGTATGCTATTATCCTCGTCTACTTTCTGTTGTAATCGGGATATCTGTTGCGGATGATTAGGTTTACTCCGTTCCTGGTCGTCATTGCATATGACCGATGGAGTGCGGGGATGGTTGGGTACAGGGGCTGCGTAAGATCCTGGCGGTAGAGTACTAAGTGCAGTATTTTCTATAGTACTGTTTTGCTTTTGGACTTCCTCCTGAGATAAGCTAAGAGCACGCTGGAGCTGTGTAGAAGGTTAGAATGGGCTGATAAAGTAGAATATTACTAACATCTCTATATTCTACGCTATCTAAGCTATCTGTTTCCTGTTTATCTGCTGAATTAGAGTCTGACATCGAAGTTTCTTAGTAAGAGAATACGTCAGACTAACGAGATATCCTCACTATAAAACTATTATACGTCATAAATAGTTATACATATTATTATCTCTTATATATCCCTACTTCGTTTCTTGGATTCACACTATCAAGTCTGTCCGTGCGTCTTTGCATGGAGGACAGCGACAACAAAAGAAATAAAATGGACAACGAAAAGAAGCCAACGAGATCAACGAAAGCCTGCTTGGAATGCAGATCGATGAAATCTCGCTGTAACGGTGACGGTACAAACACCTGTGAGCGGTGCTTGAAGAGGGGGGTAGCTTGCGTATACGAGCAGACTGTTAGGCGGAGAGGAAAGGATAAGCGTCCGCGTATCGTCACTCGACGCAACAAATCAAAGTCGAAATCTGATAGTTTCGATGAACCTGTGACGAAGAGACCGAGAACGTCTTTGAGTACGTCTACGTCTTCAAGCTTTGACGAGCAGCAGTACACGCATTCTCCGCAATCGTCTACTCCCGTTCTATCCACAGCTGCACGGCCCCCACTTACGAGTCATTCTCGCCAACACTCAAATGATCTTTTCAATAGCGTAACAACACCAGCGTTTCTATCGCCTAATACGCAATTTGCACACTTTACTCAGTTCGCTCCTCCGTCCCCGCAGTTTCTTATTAGTCCGAACACGAGTTATGAAAGAGAAACATTCTGGGATCTTCTCGTCAATGATAGATGTAATGTCAATCAATCGAAAGATAGGACGAAAGTTAACAAATCAATTTCTGACGACCTGTGGCTTGTCTTCTCTCGTTGTGATTTCATTGCAACACTTTTCAACATTAGCAATTTCTTCGACAACATCAACGACTCAGCTAGACGCGTAAATGTCGAACCTTCACTCATTCATTCTCTCCTGGCTATCAGTCATGCTTTACAGGGTCAATTTCAGATCGCTTATGTGATGGCAGACCGTGCCCATTCTACTCTTCGTTCAGCAATGATGACCGGAAGACTTACCGTCGGTATTGCACAGAGTGCCGTCGTAGGTAGCGCTTTTTGTGATTGCACACAAACTGATCTCACTCAGGTACTCCAATACTACGAATCTTTCCCACTCGGTACTTTCAATATTAAAAGATTAGCAGCACCACTCTATGCAGCAGATGCAGTTATAAAAAACCTCGCACTCACATGCCTCGATGCTGACAAAGTCGCTCACGTTTTCGATGACGATGGTATTCCTATTAGCACGACAGAGCAGGAAGTAATTAATTTTAACGATATGCACCTCCAGCCTCCGCTTCACTCGACGGAAGATTCGTCCACCTGTCCTTGCCAATCCTGGGCTCAGCCTTCGCATGTTACGCGGAAAGACGATGCCATCAGGTTTAGACATATACCCAAATTCGCTACTGAAAACGTCTCTGAGTCGCACATACACCAGGAGGAGATTAGGCGGGTTGTTTGGGGGACAGTTAACAACGGATGGTATCTCCAAATGTTGGATCCGCACGCCGTTGCAACGTTACACACTTCCCAGAGTTCGAATTATGGTGTCTTTTATACCGCCGAGTCATTTGTTTTGTCATTACCGGAAGAAGGATTGCGAAGATGGTCGAGATACACACTCTGGGCTTTCGTTGACCGCTTGAAATTGTTATGTCACGCCGCGACACGTCTATCGCGTAGTCTTCCCCCACTCGAGCTTCACATGCGAGCTAACAAAATAAGTGCTGAGGTTGACAAAATTGAGCGCGACTTGGCAAACCTTCATAGTTGTAACAGGGGCGTGCATGGATGGCACGTAAGCAATGTCGCTTTCATCACAAGGTTGATCCTCACGGCCAAGACGCGTCAGTTTTCGCATCCAGATGGTACTAACACTGGTCCTTCGGATTATTACACTAGACAACGGGCCCGCGAATGGCTTGATGCACACTCACTGATTTGGGATCATATCATCAATAAACAGTCGATTGCTAATCAGCCAATGATTTTCGTCGCACTTATCTGTCAAGCTCTTCGATGCCTCGATCTGGTGGCCTTGGATTCGGCTTTCACGAGAGCTATTCATGTCGCTAGAAACATTCTCAAAGGGATAGAAGAAATGATCGCAATTTATCCAACAAGCGAATCATCCGATCTTGATAAAATGATGACCAAAGTGAAAGTTTCTTGTGATGAACTTGAGAAGAGAACAATTTTAGCACAATGTCAACCTAATGACAGTATCATTCTTCAGAATATACAGTATATAAAAAACGAGCAATCATGACAAATTTTTTAAATATCCACGGGTTTTTTATATTGAATATTAACACCATTCACACATCGCCAAGAACATTTTTCTTATACAAGACAATTTACTCTACTGCATTGATACACGGACTTTTAGCAGAAATATTTCCCATAATAGTTGTCCAACTTACAAATATATATCTTTCTTGTATGTATAAACATGAATAAAGTGACAAAAAGAGAGTTACTCCGATATTAAGTATATTAGGTTACTTGTAAATTGCCCAGACCATTTGTTACATTATCGACTGGGCTGCTTTGATTGTTGGATGATTGATATTGTTGAATTTGACGTTTCTGCTGACCAGCGCGAACGCCGCCTCTTCTTACAAAGTCTCTCATCCGACGAACCTCCTCTTCAACTCTATCAAGTACAACTCCACAAAATGCTTCTCCATCACGCAGAAGGTCACCATCTGCGGCTGGTGGTGCGGTGAAAGCAGCTTCTAGAGAGCGCGTGGTCGATTCTTGGAGAGACGCGAAAAGCTTTGCCGTTGACCTTCTCAGTGCGGATGATGCGGGCGGTGGAAGCATGTCATTGTCATAAATTTCATCGGAAAGCATGTGCTCGTCATCTTCATCTTCGCTCTCGTCCATTGGTTCAGCGTCAGATACCCAGACCCATTTACCACCTTCAGCCATAACCCATTCTCTGTCCTCATCGACACCACAGTCAGGATCAACTTGGGTCGGTTTCCAGGCTTCTTCGACTTCCCATCTCTGCCAGTCGCTCGGTGGACCGACGTCTGCGCCGAGACCGAGTACTTCAACTAAACCAAGTCCGTCACGCTCCTTTCCCCAAATTTTACCATCAATTTCGAGTCTAGATAGATGTGGAAATAGTGGAAGGAAGTGCATGAAGTATGCTCTAAATGGCATACTCGTCGTATCATCAGCACCTTCGAGTGGAGGTGCAATGCGCGGGTTTCTGCTAGGAGGGAAGGAACCACAGAGTACCAAAGTGTGTAAATTGCGTGATGGGTGTATCAGATGAAATAATCCATGTGGAGATGTCCAGCAAACGTTGCGTACTTCCAAGATACGGAGTTCGCTGAGTGATGTCGTGGCTTCAGAGAGGAAAGACCGACCGTAAGCCGTCGAAGAATCCCGTATGTTTAAATTAACTAAGCGTAGGCTCTGCAACGATGGGTTTCGTCGTAATAACAGCGTTAGAGCATCCCGAGATACAGACGGGAGATTACTGAGGTTTAGCGAGGTGAGAAGAGTGATACTCTCGCTTCTAGGCGGAACAAGACTGCTAAGATCAAAGCGCCAACTTAGATGATTGAGTGAGAGGTGCGTCAACGTCCCCGGTAGATTTTCGAACAAACTGGGCGGTAAGTAGATGCTGGGGAGTGATAACTATAGACAGTCAATAAAGGCGATGGTACGGTAGATATTCAACTGACATCCAATCCTTTCAGGTTCTGAGCGGGCTGAATACATCGGGAGATCAGCCTGCCTAATCGACCATCAGCTCTGCCTCCAATAGTGGCTTCCCCGCGCCAATGACTGGCTTCTGTCCAATCGCCATCAACTTTGAACCATTTAAGCGCCTGCGATGGCGTCCAATCCTTCTCTAGATATTCACCGTATGCGACGACAGCAGCGAGCGTAGGTAGATGTAGCGCTGAAGGTGGAGGAGACGTCCGATAAAGAGATGTGTACACCGGTGGTGATTTTTTACTCGGAGGCGTCTGCGTCGGCATTTTGCTCGATATTTTCTCGTTGGTCGTTTGCGTGAAGGTGTGAAGGTTTAGAAGAGTAGAGATGCGTATAATTTTAGTAATACATTACTATTATGATTGTATATTTAGTCATTATAATCCTAGATCTCTCGTTTATCGCTTATCTTAATCTTGTTCTCTGACCACGAGATACTATGGGCAAATCTGATAAGTTATACGTGACACAGAGCGAATGGAGTGGGGTGAAAGGTCAGCATCTCAGTTCTAAAGGTGCACACAATTATTTGCAGCACGCAGAAGCCGGTTTTAAAGCTTTACCATTCGATTGTTGCGCTCTCAGTTTAGCGCCATTTGAGAACCCTGTTGTAGCAAAAGAGACCGGTACCGTGTATGATCTCGTCAATATTCTCCCTTATTTGAGAAAGTATGGTACAAACCCAGCGTCTGGGAATCCATTATCAACTAAGGACCTTATCAAGTTGCATTACCACAAGAATGCTACCGGAGACTATTACGATCCGGTTACCTTCAAAACTTTTAACGAGCATACCCATATCGTCGCGATTGCTACCTCAGGAAATGTATTCTCCTATGACGCAGTTGAGAAACTCAATATTAAGGCCAAATGTAAGATTTAAGATTGAGTATTAGTAGTATTCTAACAATTTAACTCAAGTCTGGGAGGATCTGCTCTCTGGCCAGCCCTTCAAGAAGACAGACATCATCACTCTCCAGGACCCACATAATCCTAGAAATCAAAATGAGCTTGATTACATACAGAACAAAAAAGCCGTCACCGATAAAGAAGCCGAGCAGGTTTTGAATGATCCTCTTGGAATGATCAACATGAATGCCACTGGTGGTGCAAGTGCAGTACTCAAGAAGATCTCAGATAACGTAGGCATATTCGATTGTTGAATTATTTGCTAATAAATGTTTAAGCAAAACAAAGATAAGGACATGCATGTAGGCCAAAACCTAGACAACAGTCATCTCGTGAAAGCACCAACACATTTTCCAAAATCTACCGGTGATACTTCGGATGTATCGCAAACAGGTTCCAAGGCATATAACGCCGCTAAGTATAGTACTGGTCGCACAGCTGCATCGTTCACTTCCACCATTCTCGATCCTCAATCGAAGAATGAATCGGCATTGATCGATGAGGATGAGCTTATGTTCCAAGAAGTTGAGAAACTTGCAGGTGCGCGCGGTAAAGACAAAGCCAAGGGTAAGGCTTATGCTAGGATAATCACCAACTTTGGCCCTCTTAGTGTGGAACTGCACTGTGAGAAGGCTCCAAAGACATGCTACAATTGGTTAATGCTGGCTCGTGGTGGAAAATACAATGGCGTAACCTTTCATAGGAATATACCTGGTTTCATGGTAAGTATTGTGTCATAATTTTGTCCGGTTTACTAAATTAGCTAAGATTCAAGGCGGCGATCCATCTGGAACTGGAAGAGGTGGTGAATCCTTCTATGGAAACCCATTCGGTGATGAGTATGACCGCAAAAATGCCTACAAGCATGATGCACGAGGCGTGCTTTCCATGGCTAACGCTGGCCCTTCGTCTAATACGTCACAATTTTTCATAACATATAGAGCTACACCTCATCTGGATGGAAAGCACACCGTGTTCGGTCATTTGGTTGGCGGTGTGGAGACCCTTTCTCAGCTGGAAACTGTACAAGTTGATAAAGCGACTAGTCGGCCAATGCGGACTATCAGAATGGAGGAAATTCAAATGTGAGTACCCGTAATTCGACTAACGTTCTAACCAAAAGAAAGCTTCACGGATCCATTTGAAGAATATAAAGACAAACTAGCCCAGCGATTGAAGAAGGAAAGAGGTGATTATGCCCAAGAAGAGTACAGAGCACGTATAAAAGCTGGAAAAGAGCAAAATAGAACAACATGGTACGTATTTATGCTTCTCATTATTTTCCTTATCTGTCATCAGGTTTGGTACCAACCTTGGTGAAAAGCAAACGCGATCACAACCGATCAAACATGATGACAACATGAAAGAGCTACTAGGAGGCACTGGTGGTGGTGGCGTAGGAAAATACCTATCACTGAAACGACCTGCGAATCCTGATCCAGCACCTTCGAAGAAGAAGAAAGAGAGAAGTAACTTTAGCGATTTTAGTACTTGGTAAATTATCAAAGCGTCGAGATATGTACAATTATAATGAATGGAATGATTATGCATAGAATCTCTCGTTTGATTAGAATACGAATGGCATTTAAATATCGCTGTTAGGAGGGTTTATTACAAACTCTGTGAGTCCGCGTACATCATCCTTCTCAACCTCGTTAAGCACTTTCTTCTGCTAAATTTTGTCGAGCGTCGATATCTCCTGGCGGAATAGATGATGGCTTGATACTTCAGGAATAGGCATGATTGAACATCCCTCATACTGTCCATCTATATAGAAGCATTCGCTTGACTCAATTTGTTTGTTCCCGAGAAAACGAACGCGTTCTACAATCTCGATGAGACAATAGGAGAAGAGTATATTTGCGTTACGGTTTGCATGTAAAGATTGCTTTATGTCTTGCAGATCTCCTAGGAGGGATGCATAGAGCTCGTTATGAACAAGACGGTAGACGAATTGATAACGAGCATTGAACGCTTCCCTGGTTGCTCTTTCGCGACCTCGAGTGTGATATCCTCCGTTGTATTCAGGTTAATCCTTATAATGTCAGCTGGCTGCGTTACCCCGTGGTAGTAGCTTGAATGTCCATTGAGCTTTTCGCTCCAATAAGAACTTCTGTTTCTTAGCAGAAGCTACCAGGAAAGGTGCCAAAAAGCTCTAGGCTAGATTTATTGCCTGTTTTCAATATGGAGAGTTCATAAACTAGAATTTTCAAGCAAAATATTCATAAACCGAATAATACAATACTTAATAAGGCCACTAAATAAAATTGCTCAGTTCATTAGTTGGAATGGCCAGGTTAATAGGATTATGATACGCCCCGTTAACCGCAGAAATGTCGATTGAGAGGACTTTTGACGGTTCTAACTAAATTCATCCTCGAGGAAGCGATATGGTGACTTTTTCTTTATTCATAGCAACCTCTTTCATATTCAACCATGGTTGTGATACTGCTAACTTCGGGTATGTTTTCGTCTGAGTGACGAACCTGTCGAGGTGAGCAGGTTTAATGGCTTTTAAACTCATGATAATGTAAAATTGAGGTCTATAACGTAAATCTCGCATCGTTTTGCTACGACTATCGCTTTCAAAACTGATTGGCATGCCTACATGAAGTAAAAGGGCGACTCTCCTACTTAAATATCAATCAGTTATTTATTTCGAATATCTATCTATTCAAGCTCAAACATCTATATTTTATAAGCCCATTTAACTCGGAATTGTTTGATGTCTTAATTTTCCCATCGAAAGCATCCTATGGTAGACAACTTGTCAAGCTCATGCAAATCTTTACTTGAAAACAAAAGTCGAAGGCTCAGTTGAAGTGAACTAAAATAGTTGAAAATTCTGCTCACTATTTATTACTTAATAAATATCATCTTGCAATCTAGCGAAGGTTACATTGACAGAGAGAATACCTCAAGTGGAATGAATAATTTTGAATTGACTTTAATAGCAGCCACTTTATGAACTTCACTATTGTTCTCCTTCGTTGTGTAAGATATTAGCGATTTACCTGTACTGGTAAGAGTAGGAGTGGGCTGTCGAACTATTTAATTTAGCATTGTAACTAGCGTTTTTTAGCCCTGAATATCCTTCAAGTTTTCAGCTTTCAGACTGAATCTTAATATTTAGAAGAGGGAGTGATGCTTATTTGCAGCATTATTCAAAATTGAATATCAAAAGTATGACACATGCCTTCACCGCATCATTCTTTTAGCTGCATGTCTGCAGCTCACAGAAGTAGAAATACGCACAGATGGAAACCTGCTACTCTGTTCAACTGATGCTGCTCCTCATCTCAGCATCTTACCGCTGGATTTTAGTAGGCTATCTTGGCGTTCAATAACTCAAGAAGCTTGGAATGATATTTGTATTGATTGGAGACCCTTTCGTTCGGCTGAGCGTTAATAGGTAGCCATACATGTGGTAGAAGCGCTTTTTCAGGATGACGATTGCAACTTTATATGTGTATATATCGAGTAGCTTCTTTTTAGTGTAATAAGTGTAGTATCTTATCAACTATCCTCTTTCATTAGCTAGGATGTACCTGTATCTGCTGTAGGCACATAATGTCTGACCATCGTGACAATAATCTCTTATATTTGAGAGAGTATATTACCACTGATGAAAAATTTAGGATTATTTTGTCGATGTTATTATGCTTTTATTTCGGTTTTTGAAGTATCGAAAAAGCATTTAGCTGAATAAAATTTCTAATATACCGTGCAACCTAAGTTATTTATGACAAGGGTAAGTTGGACACTTTCCACAGTAGACTACCAAATAAATTCCATTGAGAATGCTTCAAAGGATAATTTATCAAAAGATGTTAGGCTAACATTATCTTGATATACTTATTCGTGACCTTTCTTGACTTGATTTGATTAATCAGAGAAAGTTTTACTTACATGAAGCCTTTTCTTTGTTATTATTGTACGAGTGTTTACCAATGAGTTTCCTTATGTTGGCATTTGACTATTAACCAGT